TGCCCCTCCAACCTGAGCGATGATTGGACTTCAGAAACCTGAGTCTTATCAGGGCTCATGACCCAGCAGTCCGTGGAGGCAGCTGCTGGCAACACATAGGGTTCATGGGCGGATTTAGTTTCAGAATGCTTTGTGTCTATTTTTAGAAACCTTATTCTGCCAGAAATGTACATTAAAACACATGATTCTAACATGAAAACCTTCATAGTCCACCAGTCCACTTAATGGTCGACCAACATAAATAGCCAAGTGTGTCCCTGGTGGATTGTTTAATGTAGTGCTTCATGTGAACACTTTGATTGATCATTGGTGATTAAAAATGTGTTGAAAATAAAAAAAAAACTGTAACTTAAAAAATTGTATTTAACTGCGGTAATTTTGCTTAAAAATACTTTTTTTTACAATCCATGATTGCAGACGGCATTGTGAAATGCAGCAGAATAGAATGATTATAGTCGGCTTATATCGTTCATGTGCAATATACTGTTAAGTATATGTATTCCTCAGCAAAGGATCAAATGATACAACTCATCATTTTAAATACAAACTGGTCAGCCACCTAAAAATGGCATTTTCCTTTAAGATGACTCGTAAGTTTGGTAAAACAATCAATTTATGCCAACATCCATCCTGCATTGTACCTTTTGGGTTTGTTTTTCAAATGGAACGTCTTTCAGTGATTCAGGAGATAGGTGATGTTGCTAGGTGACAGATTTACACAACTGTAGCAACTGTAATAAGAAATCCACTAACCCGTGAGGAGAAATCAAAGAGGAAGGAGCTTGGTGCACAGTGTGTCTACCTCAGAGCAAGAGGTGCTGGAAGATGAATGTACAGTCAGAACATTGAGACCATAAATGTTTGTGCTAGTGACCGCACACTCGGTCCATAAAAGCAGATCGTCGAGGATCTTTTACTCACATTGGCGTGTGTTTTGCTCTGCAAAGGAGAGCAAAAGGGACGTAAACCTCTTTCCTTTTCTCTGTTTGTCTCTTGGCTGTCTGCGTCCACCAGGTTGTAAACGCTAGTTAATCACATGGGACTGAAGAATGAACCTTTTACCTGAGATCGTGTGTGTCCAGCTTGGCAAAACAACAGCCTATCTCATTGTTTCAGCCGGCTAATTAATTGTTGCTTGGGATGTGTCTCCAGCTGACGTGACACAGTGACCCTGCCACCTGGCTGCTGCTGTGCACAGGACTGACCCGTGCCAGTCACCAGGTCCAAAGCTCATTAGGACACACCAGAGTATCTAATTCATCCTAATAAAAACAGTTGGTCATTTATATAACTCTTCGTCAGTGAGAAATTAGAGCAAGTTTGTGCTTTTGCTGTAAGATTATTCACACATTAGGGATTTGTAATTGCAGACATTTTGGCTTGTCCATTGCATGCTGGTTGATTGCATGATGAATATACTCTCAGTGATAACATTGAAATTAGTAATGGCTGATTTCCAATTAAGAATGACCCCGGGCTACAGCGAAGTGGGAAAAAGGTGATTCCTTGTAATCACAAGGGACTTATCACCCTATTCAACTTTAAAGAATATACAATAGTTTGACTACTGTCCTTAAAGGGGACATATCATGATCATTTTCAGGTTCATACTTGTTTTTTTGGTTTCTGCTAAAAAACATGTTTACATGCTTTAATGATAAAAACCAAACACTTGTTCTCATACTGTCTGTCTGAATGGACCTGTATTCACCCTCTATCTGAAACGCTCCGTTTTAGCGCCTGTCTCTTTAAGACGCCCTCCTGAAACAGTCCAGTCTGCTCTGTTTGGCTTGCAAGAAATATAAGGTGCCCCTTTGCAAATGTAGTTCTCAATCCGTCGGTGGAGATACTCGGATGGGTGCCATTATAGTCACATGAGCCCGCATGTGACTTAGGAAGGGGAGACAAATCTGAATGGCTTGTTTAGTCACATGTTTTCTGATCCAGGCCGCCCACAAAGAACTGACTGGGTCGTCTTATTTAACAGTTTGTGAGTTGGTAGGAACTCCAGATACCCAAATGTGTGTGATATGACCCCTTTAAAGAATGATAGACTTCCACGTAGTGAGATGAGCAACTCTGAGTAAATAACAACCAGACTGTACAGTTCATATTTTCTTCAGGCTCTTGGCATGCTAATTTATCTAATGCAGATGATGAATTACTGATCATAACTATTTGATTTGCAACTTAATAAATCCATATCATAGAGTATCATCATGTCATCTGTCAGGATGGTGGTATTTGATAACATGTGCTCGCGCTGATCGTCAGAATATGACAGCCTGAAATCTCTCACTGAGTCAAACTTAGCATTTTACCCTTTCATCAGATATCTTTCGGTTATCTGTCTTGTAAGTTAATGCAGTGACGGTATAAACAGACACACACACACACACACACACACACACAACAAAAAAATATTCATCCTCCGTGATGAGAGCCACCAAGCATGCCATCGGTGGTGAAAGTGACAGGCTGTCAGGCAGCCTTCATCTTTCTGTCTAGTTTTCCCAGATCAAGATTGATTAGCACCGTTCTGCTTTGCCTTTTTGTTCTGCATCCTGAAGCAGCACGCAGGTGACTCACGCCTACTGTACAACGGGTAAAACATGATGAAAGACACATGAATTTAACGGAATAGTCTATTTTATGTGCAGTGGTAATACAAAGACCCCTCCTAATTTTGTGTTCCACCTTTGGTGTTTGCTCTCGCTACCTTAATTGCTCCCATGGGACAGTCAAACAAGGTGTCACCTCTGGATAAAATAGGATGCCCAGTAAGCCGCTTCATTGTAGGCAGATTTTAATGCATCATTCTTGGCTGCATTCGACATCCTTTTTTTATTGTATTCAGGCTGCATTATATGAAAGACGTAACAAAGTTCACTCTCTGGAGGAATGTCTGTTCTGAGAGGCTGAAGATGCTGCGGGAAAAAAGCATTTCCACAGCCTCTTTCAGTCATTGCCTGGGATTCAGCAGAGATCAGAGGAATCAAAGAACAGTGTTGCCTCTATGGTACGAATAGATTCCTTCACCCCAACTCCCGGTCAGCAGTCTGTTTTCATAAAAGTGCAGCTCTGTTTATTGAGACTTACAGATTCTCCCCAGTTGTAATAGGCACAGCATTTTGAGATAGAGAGAGCTGCAATCTCTTATAATGGAAGAAAGACCACTCTGTAAATGATCTTATTGCAACGCACCACAAACCAGTGTGGTGTGTGCCAGGACGTCAGAATGGAGGAAATATGTGTGTGTGAGGGTGCAAGTCTCCACCAATTCTCACCAAGAAATCAGATTGTTCTGTTGTTCTGTGATTCTTTTGCTCCTAAGCAGCGTTCATAACAAATGCCCTCTGCTGCAGGTTTGTGAACAGGTTGCATGCACAGACGGGCTGCCAGTTCTAGCAACCAACTTGTTGTGTGAGACAAAGTGTGAAGTGATATGCTGTGACCAGAATACTGGTCAGGCTGGTAATTCACTCTAATCACACAGAGGAGAGGAGGGGAACAGAGGAAGAGAGGCACAGGGCAGCGGGTTAAGAGATAAAAGCTGAGGGTCCTTTCTTCTTCTGCGTTGAATCAATGTTTCACTTTGTTCTCCCTTGTTTCTACACTTCCCTCTCCCTCAGTGCAGTTCTCCTGTTGTCTGCTGTTTCTAAATCTCACCTCTAATCACAGTCATCACAAACTAGGTGGTGTGAGGGCAAAACCTACAGAACCTCCGACAGTACCTTAAATCTAGCTTCCAATGCGGTCTACCCAGCGAGCGAGTGAGCGAGCGACATTACCAATAGAACACCACCATGACACTCTGATTACTGCGTGCATTTCAAAGGCCAGCCAACAGGCCTGAAAAACAACAACAGACAGCTAAATGATAGGATTCAATATAGCTAGAAGTGCCTTTTGGCTCTGGGGCTATAGATGTTTTGGAGGCCCTTCCCTCCCTTCACAATATGCCACAGCAGCTTTCATTCATTCCCTCTCGTCAATTGACAGCGACAAATAGTAAACGAAGTGCCCTCCTAAGAAGTAAACACGATAACTCATCAATATTAGACAATACGTCAAGACAAAGCTATGTGATCACAATATGCTACCCCCTGTCAGTGGACATCGACGATTAGTAAATGGAGGGCCGTCTTAGTCAGACTAGAGCTGTAACGAATAATTGAAAGCTTCATTCATAACGTTAACATTTACATTATTAATCAACTATCACATGGTTCATTGTGTTTAAAGATTGTGTTTCTGCACAGTTGCAGATAAAGATTAAGCTTCACTAATATATATTGGTAGCATCAGCTTTCCAGTGGGGGCTGATCGTTTCCAACTCGTGAGACAACATTTTCATAAAGGCACTATTGTTCGTAAGATAGTTATCGACTCGTGCGATCCAAATATTTCCAAATAACTCCATAGCGTTGGTAAGTCTAAAAGTACATCAATCAACCGCCTTCAAATTTATTTGCGCTTTGGTATGAAAAATGCACCTCAAGCACATTATTAGATAAAAGAATCCAAAGACAGGATCTATTGTTGTCACAATTTTATTTTCAAGATAGAATATACAAAAGAAAACGCGAAAAAAAAAAAAAAGTGTCTGCCGGCCGCTGGCTACAGGCAAGCTGTACACAAAGGAGAGGAAGACTTTTTTACTCCTCATGAGTAACGAAATACTCAAATAACAGTGACTTAATAATAGCACCCTTCTCATTGTAGTAAGAGTTAAATGATCCTCTTTGATGGGATAAGTCAATTGTGTTACAGACATTTCCTGTGATCGTATTGCTTAAATGAGAAACTGAGCTCAAGGTTGCCATAACCTCTCTCTCCCTTTCGCCCTCCCCGCCCCCCTCCCCCCACCCCCCACCCCTCCATCCTCTCTGATTCACAGGAAACAAGATGGAAGGATTCCTCCTATCTCTGATGAAGTAGAACCCTTACTAGCACACTCCCACCCTCCATATCCTCTTCCCTCACTTTCAAAGGTAACACAAGATTTCAACCAGCTGCAGTCCTGTTCTCTATTCAGGTTTGCTGAAATCAAATACTGAGACGCTGCCAAGACTCTGATCTGATGAATGTGAAACTGAGAGTTGTAACACGCTTAAAATCAAACTATCGTAGGAATTTTCCACACGTTAAACCAGTAAAAACACAGGTGTAGTTAAAGTCTACGGCTCAGGCCCATAGAAACATTGCTCTCTGTAATCAATCCTCCTGTTCATACTGGCCTTCTAGAGATCTCTTTCAATCTCTTCCAATGTACAGTAAGTGATGCGGGACACAGTTCGCTGTTCTCCTTTTGTGCAAAAATACAGTTTATCTGAATTTAATACGACGCTATTGCAGTCTGAATTACACGAATCAAGCGGGTATAATATAGGAATGATTACAGCAAACAGGCACGGCTCACTGGTTCACGTGACTGAAATAGAGCCATCCCTTATGTTCTTAGTTACACCTGTGCATTTCCTGTTTTAACAAGTCAAAATGTCTGCTGTGAAAAGGGTCTTTCAAGAATATTGCATTTCTCTAATGGAGGATAATGTTGACAAAAATGGATATCAATTATCCCGAGTGACCTATGCCATATACTGTATATATGAGTTGTTTATTTAAAGTATTTAAGGAAGTCTGGCTGTATTCTCTAAAAGATCAAAACAAACAATGTAAGTTATCTAACTAGCAAATATTGCCTGTGTAGCCAAAGCCTGATATAACTTGTTCCTCTTTGCCTTAGACTACAATTGTTGTTGCACATGTATGAAGGAACATGTAGCCATACGTGCTAATGTTGTTTTTTCTGAGACAATGTTCACTAGCGCACCAAATATGCTTTAATTCTAGTCTGAAAATGATACACAAAGGAGGTTTGAACAGTGTTGGCTGAAAAAAATCTAATTTCTTAGCTTTAAAAAATGTAGCTAAATATTAATATACATAGCCAAACTGAAAACAGCTGTCCAATGCAAGTATTATAGTGTTTATAGGGGAAGCTCATTTGCAACACCCGGCCCTCCAAGGGGCTACAAGAAAATTAGACAGAATACAGTGAGATACAATACATTACTACACATTCAAAATACTACATTTAAAAGCTGGACACGAGCACAGGTTTGTTGCTGAATTAACCAGGATTTGGTATCTCTCTTTAAAAGTGATTGCAGCAACTTTATTGTGATCAGGAAGTTAGTTCCAGGACTTTCTTCCTTTCAAAAAAAAAAAGCTTTGCAGATGTTTCGCAGAATGGAGTGAATTTGTGCCCCATTTTTAAAAATGTATGTCAGTAGGAACTAGTAGTAATTAAAAATGATAGATAGACCAACACACTGTTTTGGTCTTTTCATTAGATATGTTGACAGTAAGAAAAAAATATTGAATTCACCTTTAAAGCGACGGGTCAGATCAGTATATGGCCTGGGGATAGCGTGAGTCCAGTACACAGAGTTACTATCAGCACTGGAATAGTGTTACCAGTTCATCCCTACCTTCAATGCATCTGTTTATTTTAGTACCCGACTGCTTTCCTCCCTCTTTCTTTGCTCATCATATCCTTCAGCTGTTACAGCAGGTTAAAGGTGGCTCTAATGTCCCCCACCCCTGGTAGCTGTTGGCAGCTTGTTGTGGTGCCCTCTGTCAACAGGCCTCTGGGACATAGATCTGCAGCAGTTGTTCCTCTCTGATACATGCCATATTATTTTTGTCACACATGCAGTAGAAATAACATAAGCATGGCTTCATTTATATGGACCTGCTCAGAATAGACTTCCTGGGATACATTTTTTGTAGTTTTTTAAATGTCTCCACAATTTGAAATTGTAGACCTGCTTGTTTTGTAATATGGAAATGGTAACCAGTGAGATGTTCTAGCCTGTCGTGACAGGAGAGAGTAATCTCTACAGTACATATATGAGGTTATGGGTGGCACACAATAGGGTCGTTGAAGGCAAGTTGCTGCCAATGGTTGAAGTTAAAAGCCATTTAAAGGGCAACCAAGTAAACTTTCAAAATTCTTACATGTGATTCCTATGGCCGAAGACAGTCGGAGTGTTAAAGCTTAAATTTGTGATGGCATCAAGGATAAAGCCTGTAACTGCTCCATAGAGTTGTCAGTCTCCTGAATTGTAAGGCTTGATGGAGGTGGTTGCTACAAGTGGCTAAATGAGACTACAAAACATCATCACAGAGACTAGTCCGCCTACACAGGCTATAGTTATAGCCACATATTAGCTTTTTACTCCTCCCAATTTCATTTACGCATAAACTAATTAAAAAGGGGTGTTCACTTGTTAAGATTATCTTGCTGAACAAAAAGTGTACGTATCATAAACTTGTGTTTGACACAGAGCTTATTTTCTGCAATCATCCCGTTGGCTTTTTGTCAAGGGAATCGGTGCGATGCAAACTTCCCGGTGCTGCGATGGTCTTTTCATTAGACACATACTGTATTGATACACTAAAGTTGGTGTGTAAGTTACAGTGCAACCTTTAGACATAAACATAGCTACAGACATGCTACTTGCATCTCTTTGTGTGTGAACTGTCAAGGTCTACTTTGCACTTCTGGAAGTCAGACACCTCACTTCAGCGTGTTATAATGATCAGTGCTGGTGGCCTGAAGGTGTTTAAGATGTGATCTCCAAGTCTGATAGTTCAAGACCTTTATTTGTCCACCGAGGGCCGATTGGGTTTGCCGCAGTAATAATAACAACACGGGGCTAGACACGCAAGATAAAAACACATATACATAACCACTTAATAAATAAAAGCCCACATAAATGCAGGAGTAAAAAACACATGGAGTAAAGATACAATATTAGTGAAAAAAACAGGCATGGTTGGAGATGTGCTGATGCTACCCGTATACTTTACAGAGTTGAGCAGTGACATTGCAGAGGGTAGAGAATTTATATCCATATCTATGTTTAGTGGACATAATAATCTATTCTTGGATTCAGTTTAAAGGGAAAGTACGTCAACAAGTCACAGTTACAGGTCTTTGGGGGTACTACTGCATTTGTGAAAAAAGTTCCATAAGGCCTAATGGCTCCAGAGGGAGTTGTGCAAACTGATGAATTGCCTAAAGTGATGTCACTTGGCTGAAGGTTACAAGTCTGTAAATGGAAAAAAAAAATCTGGGGGTGTGGAGTTAGATAACAGTGAGCTTATCAAGACCTCTGTAATCCGCTCCTCAGCTCTCATCTCTAGCCTCTACTCATATAACACACTTGAATTAACTATTGCTGGTTACGTTGCATTGTGGGTAACGTAGGCGCCAGGTTTTGAGATGGAAGAAAAATGCTTGGAAAGAATAAAGATGATGTCTCTGGTTCTGCTGCGTCGATTTTGATCCTTTTTTAAAAACTCCATCGTGAAGCCACCAAGGTTATATAGGTGCAATGCTAAATTGATGGAGGGCTGTTTTATTGATTTATTCAACCCTCTCATCTTTAAGTCCTTGATAGGCAGTTGTTAATAATTCATTACACAAACAAATGCCCAGAAGATGTTAATCAAAATGCAAGAGATGATCGAGGGAGAGTTGCAGTGCCTCCTCTTTGTCTGAACTGACTCACTACTTTTTGCCAGAGTGAAGACAGTAGGAGATCTGCTTCAGCAGACAGAAAACCCAGCAGCAGTTCTGTAGACCTTAACCTTCATGGCAATCAACCAGCGTCTGAGGCAGTGAAGTGGTGGCGGGGGTCCATCTGTGTGAACTCAGTTTGTGTCTCCCAGGCCCCGGTGGCTGCAGCAAGGTCAGGCTCTTCTCTGAAGCCAGACCTGATGAATGGACCCCGATGGATTTTCTCTGGCTGAAATGTCAGGCTTCTGTGCCCGTTGATTGACTCTCTTTGAAGTCTAGTTTTCCATTTTACTGTATTGCCTTTGAGGATGCGGCGAACCCAGATAGCACGGAGGGATTGTGGAGTGAGCAGGCGTGGGGATATGTCTTTGGATGCAAATCATTCTCAATTTGTCCATGGAAATTCAAATGGGGCTCTGGATGTGACGAGTTAATGAAGTGGTGCAGTCAGAGCTTCACTCCTCAGCTTGGAGACTGAGTAGAAAGGTCTGGACTTTATGGTTCATGGATTCAATACCCCTCATATGTTCTATTCAGCCAAGTCAGTCTGATCAGATCAATGAGTCAGTTGACGAAACGTGAGCAGCTTAAAAGACATGCGGGACATGAAGTCTGAATGCCAAGACACTTCCAAGTCAAACCTTTCACTCATTTAGTGCTGATCTTGGTCGTCTTCTGTACATATTGTTCTGTTAGATCACACCACATGCTGTCGTCACCAGAACCAAGCTGGACAGTACAACAGCGGCTTGGCTTTTCTAACAGCTTGAGCTTGAATGTCGCACTCACCAAAGATGCTTCCCAATCAGTATGCTTTATGTCAGTACTCATAGTGTGAATCTGAATAGAAATTAGTATCTCCCTCACATTTGCCATCATGTGACTGTTATACATGATAATCAGGAAAGCATGTAATTAGTATTCACCTTTGCTCTGTAAATGTTCTCAAATCCTACTTTGGCATCAGCTAAAGCCCGTCTAGACCTGACTAAACAGATCATCAGTAATGAAATGTAACCTCACGATTAGTCTAAAAGGCAGCCCCATTGTGATGCTGCAACATGTTTTCACTCCCAACTCTTCAAATACAGCAGCTTGGTTCAGCGGCCCTATGCGTCAAACTATGGCCGTGGTTACACTTGTCTTTTCAATGAGACTTTTATGATCAGAACTCAGCTGTGAGTTCTTCTTTTTGCAACCAGAGGAGTTGCTCCCTGCTGGTCAGTAGAGAGAAGGCAAGTTTTAAGACACTTCCGCATTGGCTTCACTCAGCAGAACCAGAGGTTGCCGCCTGTCACAAAGCTCCACTACTTCTGTGATAAACACAATTTCCTATAAATTCTTCACAATAAAAGTCCCCCGTTATTTAGTTTTTTAAAAGCTTTTATTTTGAAGCAGCCAAATCAGCAAATGTTGGGTTTTTGTCAGCAGTAACTTTGCACAATGGGTCTCAGCTGTACTCCAGTCCCGGTTTTCCTCCCCTTCCTGTGCTCTCACTCAGGAGAAGAGGATGATGTGATATGATCCATTTTATTCCCTCTGAGATCTGAACTCAATTTGAGCCAGTCCACCTCTGCATGTGGTCTAGCTGATGGGTTAGCAATGGGAGCAAGATCCAATCTTGAAGCGTATAGACTTGACAGTCAGAAGGATCAGTTGACAAAAGTCGTATTGAAAAGACAAGTATAACCACGGAAGTCAAGTTACTTAGTATAAAGAGCAATTAGGTGCTTTGGGAGGAGGTCGGAGTGGAGGATTGGTTTCCGAAACACAGGACTTTCACCCAGGAGACTGGTGTTTGTGTCCCGTGTGAAACCAAAAGTCAATGTTCACTTATTTTAAGTTACGTAACATTACTACGTAGCCTATACTACATAACAAACATTTTCATTTTTAACCCAAACCTCAATCTTTTCTTAATCTAATCAACTTGTTTGGTTGCCTAATCCTAACCAAGTTGTTCCCCGTAAAAACAGAAGTTTAGTTTGAAAAAACAGTGCATGCATGTAACGAGCAGAAAGTGACAAGTGCAAAAACGACACATTCAAAACTGACGCTAGAGCGTTATAGTTTGGAGCGTAAGGCCACTGACCAAGCTGCCTGTATTACTCGACTGAATGTTACCTCTGGCCGTATAAAATCTGCATTTTGTGCACTTTCATTCAAACCATGTAACCTCTCCGCCTCTCATGTACTTCCTATCGAGATTAATGCAGACGGTTGGCTGACAGTGTTTATCTTCTATTGCCAAATGAAAAATGCTTAACATACATGGGGAGAATCTGTCCTCGTGAAAGCTTTCAGCAGTGTTTTGTTTTTTCTTAAAGTAGGTCAGTGTTTGTTGATATCTGATGTTGGGAGTGTGCCCGATGGAGGAAGCTGCACAGAAAATACTCAGCTTTCACAGAACGACAGCTCCCCTCTTTCATCCCACAGTGCTTCCCTCATATTTTAATCTCTCCTTTCCTCCTCTGTTTTTCCCTTATCTTTTATGCTCTCATGTCATACCAGTACTTAACTATGCACACGGGATTTCGTAGGTGCTGAGGTTTGCTAAGTCCCCCCCCCCCCCCATCAGGCTGTGGCATCTTCACATGTCTCACATATCTCCCCTGGTAGAAGCGATAACACTTGGAGCTTTCACATTTGGACATGATGCAGTGAAAAGTGCCTAATGCATTTTCATGTGGAAACCCAGAGTGCACCACTCATTAATCAACGTTTCTCATTTATTTATGATGGCCAACTTATGTTATTAAGCAATGATTGTTAAAAAAAAAGAGGGAAATATGTCTGAGTGCTTGAACAGAAATAGTTCATAATCAGCACTTACAACCTATAAAAGCACTGCGGGTGTAATTAACCTACTTCTCACCATGTGCTGTAAAGCGCATTGTGACATAAAGTGTACAATCTGTGGAAATGTCTGGGATTTCTCCTTGGAGGTAAAAGAAATGCCCGTGCTGCCCCGTTTTCATGTGTATGTCTGGCTTTCTGTATGGAGCGGAGGAGAACTGTTATGAGCGGGAACCTTGAGAAATACAAGATGAAGGGAAAGAGGAAGAGCATAGTCTCGTATTGACTTTGAACAAAAAAGAGAACTGCTGTGTGTGTGTGTGTGTGTGTGTGTGTGTGTGTGTGTGTGTGTGCGGGTGTGCGTTACAAAGAGAAGATAGTTGTGCACAGAGAAGGGAGAAACGTTCCTCCCTCCCTCCGGCTTCCTACTGAATAGCTGTGTGTGTACATGGGAGGGTGGGGGCAGGCATTAAAAAAAAAAAAAAAAAGGGGAAGGAAGGGAAATTCTCACATGCACATGCTTTTACCTCACACACAGATGTATGGATTCTACCAGCCGTCAGGCTTTCTCTCCCAGTTTGCTGCCTGAGCGACACTACTGAGTGTGAAGTATCATTGTCAATCTTGCTTTTCTCCTTGTGGCTGACAGTGACATCGACACCCTTCGCTCTTGTCAGCCTGCCTGCGTCCGTATACTTGTGGAATGATGACTGATCTCAGGATAGCTAAGAATGCCTTATTGGATGGGCTGCTCACCAGTCCTCCCAGTAAGCCTTTTCTCAAGAGACGATGCCTCAGTGATGTGAGTACTTTTCACTTGCTGGAAGTGAGAGATTCTTTTCGCTCTAGTTATTGTTGCTTGTTTCATTCTTAAGGTAGCTTAGAGACAGATAGATAATGTGTTTGGTGCTGCAGGACAGTAGACTGGATTTTTGTACATTGTACAGATAGAGCCGTACCTCCCAAGCTGAATTGCATTATGGCTTTGTTTATTTTCACATTCAACAATAGACTCCAGGCTGCACCTTTGGCTTTACTCGGTCAGTGTCAGGTGTTTGTGAGTAAGTGTGCATTTATGGGTGGTGATATGTGCACCTTTTAAGTAGGTTTGCACTTGGGAAAATGCACGTAAACACTTCCACGTGGTTTTCGTGTGCGTGTGTGTTTCGCACGTCCTGCGGTGCCCTCGGTAAATTTAAGCTGTCATGTGGAAACATCAGCTTGGCACTTCAGTCCACTTGCGTTACATGGTGAGCGGAGGGCTCACCCCACAACGAGCACTGCCGCCAGGGCTGCTGCGATCCTCCTCGTCTCAGGTTTGAGCTGCTGAACATCCGTAACGTGGCCTCTGCAGATGAGAAATGCATGCCTCAGGGTGTTGCATTCACCTGTACCAGTAGCTTGGCTAATTGGACAGGACACCAAATTATGTCCTGTGCATGGTCGAGGTGTAATTATAAATTCAGAATTTATCTAGAGAGCAGCACATCAGTGCACCTGGACCCAAAACATCAAGATTACACCATGGCTGACATGGCACCCAGATGCCAGAATGTCAATTTATTTTTAATTCCTGCCTTATTCACATTGCCTGCCTGTTATCTGATAGGTCAAATATTGTCCCGTCCACACATTAATGTGACTGAAAAATCCCAGTGCCTTCCAGCTAATTTGGCCGTTGCGTACAGTCAGATGAGACGTTGGCTGTAGCAACAGAGAGAAGCAACAAGGAGCTTTGAGGCCCATTTCCCCCTCAGAGTTACTTGTGTACAGTCTGTCTTCAAGCGTGGAGGAAGGATTCTCCAGGAGTTGAATGGAGCCTCAGTGAGACTGGGGTGTCAAGTGGGGTGGGGGATGCGTTGAGGAGATCACTCGTAGTTAAATAAGGGCTTAGAGGGTGTCAGAGAGTCAAAGAAGAGGTCTCATGTCTTGAGACTGCACAGACAGCTTTTGCAGTGAGCAGCGATGAAGGATAAGTGAGCACTGCAGGGAAAGCATATCAACGCAACTGTCAAACCCATGTCCCCTTTTGGATCATTGTCAACTCTCTTCCCTAGACCTCGGACCTGTTTGCCATGATCGAGAGGATGCAGGTACTGTAAGTGGTCCCCGGGCTCGTCCGTTCTTCCTGCCAAACTTTAATCAAAGGGCCTCCTCAGAATTCCGCTCGCTTTGGACATAAAACTTCCATTTACTTCTATTTTGAGACTCACGTTTTTCTGCTTTTCCTGCTATTTCTGTATTCCATATCACAACCCTGCTACTGCAACACTTTTATGCGTGTCTCCATGTATCCCTCTCTTTGCCCTTAATAGTTTTTTTGTGGTATTTGCAGCAGTGACAGCCTTAGGCTGCCGTTAGAAACCTGATGCTTCTGAATGGGCTAAACAAAGCCTTTGTGTTTTCTCTTCACAGCGGTGTAGTTTTGTCTGCGTCACCAGATGTGTGAAATGTTGATATGGATTTGTAGGAATGTAGTTTGTTTTGTATTCGGTGATGTTCAACTCTTATATTCTGAATAAGCCTGTGAGACAACAGTTTAAACATACTTTAATATAGTAACTTTGATACTATGCATCCACACGTTCACCTTTTTAACTGAATCATAATTCTCTTCCTTTTGATGTCAAATATCTCACTTGCTGACCTTGTAACTTTGGCATTGCTGTGTCAGGGTCAACTTAACAGGATCCTGAAACACTATTGTTAATTGTCTACTGTGATAATATCTTGGGTGGAAGAGAATATTGCTGAAAGGGGCACAACAACATGATTTAGTTGAATAATATGTAAAACACTGTAGAGGCTCAAACAACAACATCTTCTGCTAGAAGAAAAATCACAGGCATGAAAGTGTTTCTGAGGTACTTCGGGGGGATTCAAACCATATCCATTTAGTTGTTTTCTTTTCGGTTGTCAACCCCATGAACAGCACACAGTTGCATACAACAGTAGCTTATTTTGTTAGTAGCGATGCATATTCTCCAACAAGTAAAAGGACCGAGGGAGGGGAAGAGAAAACAGAAGCAGTGGAACAGTCTCCAAAGAATGAATTTAATGAAAGCATTTCCAATTTCCATTTGATTCATCTTCCTTCGTCCTGGAAAAAAAAAAGCACATCAAATTTGATAGGATTCAGTTCTTGCTGCAGGGTTTTCCACACAAAGAGGCCACTGATCAGGAATGCTTTGTTTTTCATCTGTCTCTGTGCTTTGGGAACTGTCAGTAGTTATGAGTCAGCAAAACAAGGATGGACAGAGTAGATGCAGCTGTTTTGGCACTTTTTGGGCCTTAAATTGAATTGTGATTAATGATATCTACACTGTTCTCTCGGACCTCTGCTTATCTTTTTCACTCGCTAAGATCCCCAAGATATCACTCCTCTTTACTTCCTCTTTCTGTGGCCCATCTGGTGATTGAGCTTGCATTATGTAAACATGAGTTATTGTCACAAAGAATAATCTCACTCGATGCTGCTGCACAACAAATTTCAAGCGAAAAACGTTTCCGCATATGTGTCTCTGTGTTTATCTTTGTGGGTGTGTGAACCTGCTTTGTAGATATTCCACCTCTTCCCTCAGTATCACATCATTTTTCTCTCTACAGGGTTGCAGAATGGATGAGCAGAGATGCCCCCTCCCTCCCCCCCTCAAAGTGAGTCGCGAAATCCTCACGTCTCCTCGTAGACCGCAGTCTAGTAAAGGATCCGCAATGGCAGAGTTATAAACCTGTCCTTATCAGCTGTCAGACAGGCTTTAGGATGCTCACCGGCTGAGTTCGGAACTCAACAGGATAGGGCTGCAAAATCCTAAACTGTCCTATTACCTAGACGGGCTAATCCGGTTGGCAGTGAAGACTGGGAGATCCTTTCACCAGGAAGTCTGAGGTCAAGTCACAAAGGGTGCGCAATAGATGGTAATCATCTGAAATAAGAACATAAAACCATTTATTTCTGTGGACTGACAAGAATCTGGTAACTTGGTTAGAGTGTGGCTTTCCTCTAATAGGCCAGCATTCGTAGCTATGACAAAAATAACAGATACCCCATGAAATGATTTCGTATTTTATCCACGTAGTCATGAACGAGGAAGTATAAAGACCACAGAAGCGCACACACAGGGCGGGTGCCAGGATACAGCTGTTTTCATTCCCCATGTGAAACGGGAAGTCGTGTTTATTTGAACCCAAACGACGATCTTTTCCCAAACCTAACTAAGTGGTTTTGTTGCCGAAACCTAACTGAGTTTCCTGAGAAGACTGAAGTTTAATTTGAAAAGACCGCATGCATGTAAAAAGCTGAAATTGACTTTTCGGGGAAAAAAACGCTGTATGAGAATACTTTGAATATTTATAATGTGGTTTTGTAGTTTGCATAAAATACTTGTATTAACACTTTTGAAATAAAGGTGCTCACTAGAATCATGCAGGGTTCTTCAGAGACCCCATAAGAGAACACATTTTGCTTCCTAATAGAACTTTGTCTTCGAGATTCCACCCAGAACAATGTCTTAAAGGTTCCACCAAGAACCCGCTATGAGAGGTTCTACAGAGTATCCTCCTATGGTGTAATGGATAGAACTGTCTCTGCAGGATTCTGATCCTCTGTCTTTACCTCTACTGCTCTACCGCGCCCATAATAATGGCCGTGTTTCTTGTAAGACTTAAATTAGTTGAGTATAAAAAAAGCTCTCTTGCTTTCACTTCTGCTATAGCCGATATGACTTGTAATGGAGCAAGACCAGGCATGCTCTGCTGAGGTTGTTAAAAGATGTTCTTGGGAAATTGACAAAATTACTATCTACAATTGAAGGAAAATGAGTTTGCCAAAAAAAGTAAATTGCACCATGTCGTCACAAAACGTTTTTTGCAACGGACATCACAGAGGAAAGCCACTAACTGAACACAGCTATCAGATGGTAAAATAAGACGTGAAATGTCGCTTCTCTCACACCAACATGTGGATATGCAGCAGGAAGCAAGCCCCTACCTTTTTCCAAGTGAAAGCTTGTGTTGTTGTCTCTTTTTCGTGCGAGTACTGTGAGGCTTTAGCACCTTAGTACACCTTTAGCACATTATAACACTGAGAGCAGTGGGCCTCGGATACATTTCTTGCCAACAAAAAAATGAGCTATGTACTCGCTAAAGAGGAATTCCAGGCATTTGTCAGAAAAGTCTAATTGTCTAATTGTCTAAAAGTCTAATTTGGCCTCTTTCAAGCTTTGCCGGATGATAAAAGTAACCCTGAGAAAGTAGGACGATACTGTCACAGTGCGTATGCCCATTGTTATTCCCCTCAAAGACCCAAAACCGTAAGTGTGACTCGAAGCGTCTGTTTGTCAGCTTGACTCATATTTGTTTCCTTCCCCGCAGACAGAAGAGGACTACATCCCTTATCCCAGCGTTCATGAGGTACACGCAATGTAACTCTCTGCATAAATAACTCACACAACACATCAAACATTTTACAGATGTCAGACACTGTACAGCCAAAGGTTTAAACAGGTCAAACAAAGCAGACATTCGGCAACAATGAAAGTAATGCAGTGTTTTATGCGACATGCTGACTATTAGTTACTAATCAGTATTCTTTTCACCGTTATCACTGTCCGTCGCTGTCAGGTTCTTGGTCGCACTTGCCCTTTTCCACTCATCCTGCTGCCCCAGTTTGGAGGCTACTGGATAGAAGGGACCAACCATGAGGTCAAAGACCCACCAGAGGCTGAACAACCGCCCTGTGCTGCCTCCCACGTCAAACTGGAGACAAACAGCACCGCCAAGATCTACAGGAAGCAATTCATGGGCAAGGTGAGGATGGGGAAAAAAGGGATCTGGTTTTATGCATTTCTAGTCAGCCATCGATCTTGATTTAATCAGTCTTGTACAGCATCTTGACGTATACAATTGGGCTTCTTAAATTGACTTGCCTGATATAAGTGCTCTGCGTCAATTTCAGAACATGAAGTACGAAAAACTGCCTTTGAAAATTGGTATTAATTGCCAGAGCTCATTTGTGTTGACAAAAAGAGGACTTTTAGTGGGAAAGAAGGCAAAGAAAAAGAGTTTGTGTCTGGGTTATCTATCATTCAGTTACCTTTACAACTACCAGGGCGATGTTTCAGGCACACAGAGCAACATATTGGTCTGCAATCCCCTTAAAAACCATTCACTTTTGTCAATACTGCTACACCGTTAGTATTCTCTCTCAAAGCGATGAAGTAAATACACAACTAAATGTTGCATATATTATGTTATATAATACTCTGAAATGATACTCTTTGATACTCTTTCCGTTAAAAGGGTATTTTGGGGGAGTTTTTCCTGTACTGATGTGAGAGAGGATGTTGCATGTGTACAAATTGTAAAGCCCTCTGAAGCAAATTTGGGATTTTGGGCGATACAAAATAAATTGAATTGAAACAAATTGCCTACTTGTAAATACTGTATATCTGTCATACACCGAAGCAGTTGAGTGTTCAAAATAAGATGGTACCTTGTTTCACACCTTTTCCTCAAGGACACTGCTTTCCTAAATTAAGGGAATAGAAGAAAGTTACTCTCTCTACCCTCTTCCATTTCTGATTTATTATAGCAGTTTGTTGTTGTTTGTTGCTGAGGGAGTATTCATCATGGCGTTTAAGTGTCTTCTGCTTATCTGCCCCCAGGAGCACTTTAATTATTACACCATGGATGCTGCCCTGGGCCACTTGGTCTTTTCCATGAAGTACGATGTCATTGGGGATCAAGAGCATCTGCGCTTGATGCTTCGGTACAGTTCCTATTATTTTCATAACTGACCTGTTTTCTCTCCCATTAGTGCTGTTTTGTCCCCTAGCTCTTAATCACAGTCCTCTCCTTTGCGATACCCTCTGCTATTGTTCTTTTCCTTTACTCCATTTTCCTTCTCTATGTTTCTCTCTCTATGGCTGTTTTCTCACGTTGAACCTGCAACAACTCTGGCTTCAGATGTCCATGTAATGCAGTGATTTTTGGCATTTACTCATAGAGTTCCCAAACAGAACCATCCCATATAGAGTATTTCACTCATGACTTCACTGTTCCACATGGATTAAGTTGTTGTTGTTGTTGTTGTTGTTGTTTTTTTGCTCAAGAATTGTGTTACGTCAGGCAAAAATGACACAGAGGAAGAAGAGCATTCTCAATTCTCATTGAATTTAAAAATGTATTTTCCTTCTTGATTGCTGACAAGAAGGAAAATACGCTAAGGCCTGACCCTGCTGTCTGAATTCAATCTCAGAACGGGCTTCCTAACATCTGGTTTGGTTGACATCTGCTCCATCAAGCCTCCAATGTTTATGTCACAGTCAGGTGAAAAAACTTATCTTGTGAGATGCAGCTATCAAACGATAAACACCTCAGAAATAGCATGTCATTTCTTATTTTAAATGTTTAAATAACTCAATGAATTAATGCAATGTATTATAAACCTACTTGTAATATGTTATAATCGGCTTCTAGCACCGTAAAATTATAGTTATAACAACTTGTACATATTCATAATGACTTATAAGATCAAGTATCATGTTACTTTATAATTGCAGGTCACTCAATTACATTTTTAACTTTATAATGTGATTATAAGTTACTCCAAATAGTAATTGTTTGCTTTAAGTAAAGTAAAAAGTAATTTCACATTTGTATGTTGCTCTTGCATAGATTTAATTACATGTTTTATTCACTTTACTTAAAGCAAACAATGACCACTTCGAGTAACATATAGTTACATGACAATTTATAACAGTGATTATTATGCATAAAATATTACAACCATGGAAATTATATTACACAATGATCCTTACAAAAAGTGTCAGTGAGTGATTATTGTTATAATGCATCATAAATATTTATGAATTCTTATAACTAACTATACAGTGCAATAAATAGATAAAAACATATTTTAAGTAAGTTTAAAATGCACTATGGGCGTCATAGAAAGTGTTTCCAGTAAGACAATTGCAGATTTGTAAAGATCCTGCTTTAGTGTCCTTAGAAACACAACAAAACACACGCCAGAATTCAATAGATATTTTTGTCATTTATGTTTGGGAGTTGTGTAATAACGTGAGTATGAATAGAAGTGTTAAAATATGTTTGTGTGGCACAGTGTAAACTTTCAAGCTCCACTGTTTAAACTACTTTTAAAAATGTGCCACAAAGTGCTCAACTTTTAGCACACTATCTAAGTGTAACTGCTCCCACCTGCCCACTCACCCAAGTCCTCCACTCCTTCACGTTCTGCTAAAGACAGACGAGGGGGAGCGAGGCGGAACTGTGCACACCACATAACCTGCGAATTCATTTTAGCACCCGAGAGGCTCCACTCCAAATTTTAGTAGCTGCATTCCCTCTTTGTTAATGGAGCTTTGGAGTGGATGAGTATGTTGCGAGGCAACAGTCACTCAGCCCACAACGTTTTTCACATTGTGATGTTTGATGTTTTCCTCCAGGTGGGCACCGCCCACAGTCACCCCACCACCCAAGTCAGACTCAGTCCCCCCTCTCAATGTAGTCAGAGTCACTGTCCACATCTAAAGCATCTGTAAGACAACTAGATGACCAGTCAGAATCTCTTTTTTTAAATGTAGCTGTTAAAGATCTATAAACTGTAAAAACTGTTGTATTCCTAAGCACACAGAAGGATCACAGGTTGTTAGGCCCTATGAGAGCCACACTCCTCTGAGTTACTGTTGCTACACCTGTCCAGCTTTCTGCTTACAATTATAATTGAGGCAGATTAACCACTAAAATTCTTAATATATATCTTTTTGTTAAATGGCACCTTGATTTCAGGCAAATGTCAGCTCCATCAGTTGAAAATGCTGAGGGACTTTTTTAAAGCTTTCAGCTTTTAAAACGAGAAACTAAAGGGGTCTTGAATATGCACTTGACAGCTACATAGATATTGTGCCTATTTCAGGCAAACACTCACAGCAGTATATTGAAAAGTGAAGAAATATTGTTCGTGTATTGCAGTGTGAATCTAGTAAGAGTAGGCCGTGCGTAAGAATGAAAAGGAAAAACGCAAGATCAGTCCCAAGGTAACCCCGTTTGACTTCGTGCCTCACATATTTGTTCCTGTTTTTATTCAGTATGTTTTCACTTTTACTTTTACTAAGTAAAAAATGCTGGAGTTATTCGAACACAACAGAGAGCAGGACAGAGCGGCTTACGTTACCCTTAGCTCTTAACCAGCTTCCACAGCGTGAGCAAATATTACACAGTGCATGTGCTTGTTGTGAATGGAGCTTTTTTTGTTAAACGTAACCTGTAAACCACCTAGTTAATTGTTGATGTGCCCCTTAGCATTAGTGGTGAGTTAACCCTCGGTTACTACTGAAGGAAATAAGCTGGACTTGCCTTCTATTGGTTTTCTTTTGGTTTCTATCAGTGTAGGTGGCACACTGACCAGATACATTCAAGTTTCTGCAGTTCTTTTATTCATTCCATCCTGCAGTGTTGCCACAGGGCATCTGTAGTCCCTGTTGCGTTGCTAAGTTGTGCTGCCCAGGCCTCTGTGGCACAGTTATGTTAGCATCGTAAACACTTAAGGGTATAGCATGCTAAGTTGCTAACACTCAACAAGTCATTTCTGGTCAGCATGCAGACAGTCATCATTCATATTGTTGATTAAATAACGACTCAAATCATGTATTAATACATTCCATTCAAATTAATTTATTGGTTGTGTGAAACTTCAATCAATCAAATGTATGTTGCATGAGCTCCCATCCATATTACCTGCTTGTCATATGGTCATGGCCAAACTGGCGAACAGAAAGTGAGAGCTTCCAATGGGCTTCATAGCAGAGGGAACTCAGACTGTACCATGTTGAGTAGACTACTGAGAAGTTTTTACTGTTTCAGAGAATAATGTTTTTTTTAAATACCCCAAACAACTTATACTGTTAATATTTATATGTTAAGACAATTAGAATAATGATTGAAGATTGTTTTTGTTGTTTTTACATATGATTGTTATTTGACTGCCCAATTGATTATGCATTAACTTTGGTGTGTGTGTGTGTGTGTGTGTGTGTGTGTAGGAAGAGCTGCTCTTTAAAAGCAAGGAGTAGAAGCTGCTGAAGGGGAGTTCATTGTCGGAGTTGAAGTTGAGTCAGTTCAGGTGCAGACCTGCTGGAGGCCTGCTGCTAGCTGCCCAGTCCACGTGGGCTTAGCCCAACTTTTCATTATTTAGAGCCGTCTGCTTCACTTTCTCCAACTCTGGAATGATATCCCAGTCTCCGTAGTTTTAAGGAACTTCTTAAAACTCACTGTCACTGTATGTTCCTACAATGTTATGTGCTTTTACGCCTGATGTTTTAGTTTTTATCTGGCGCTTTGGGTCCAGAAAAGTACTTTACATACAGAATGTATTTTCTATTTAAGTATTTATAATTTTTTAAGAATAATTATAAAGCAATTACAAGGAAAGGTCCCCTTTGAATTGGCAGTTCATTTGAATGCTAAACATCAAAGAAAGAAAACACTGAAGGATTGCTTGAACAGTGAGCGTTTTAACTTTTCAAACTGTTTGTCTTTCAGCACAAAGCTAAGAACTTACCACGATGTCATTCCCATTTCCTGCCTTACCGAGTTCCCCAATGTGGTTCAGATGGCCAAGGTAGGCATTTATTATCGCAAAGAATATATTGTTTAAAAAATAAAGTATTTTAGCCTTTAAGTGAGAAAAGATGAATGTTCTTTTTCACCGACAGCTTGTTTGTGAAGAGGTCAACGTGGATCGGTTTTATCCTGTCCTCTACCCAAAGGTATAGGCACTAATCCTCATTTCCAAATAGAACTCTCTTGCTATCCGCCAACATCGCATCTCCGTGAACATCACTGAAAATGTTCTGTTTTCTCGTCCTCAGGCATCACAGCTCATTGTCACCTTTGATGAGCATGTGATCAGCAACAACTTCAAGTTTGGTGTTATTTATCAAAAGTTTGGTCAGGTGAGTGTGTTCCACAGATACCACTGCTAATCTTCTGCTTTTGAAGTCACGTGTCACTCCTCCTGAAAATGTCCTTTGCTCCTTCCACACAGACATCAGAGGAGGAGCTGTTCGGGAACATGGAAGAAAGCCCTTCCTTTGTCGAGTTCTTGGAGTTTCTGGGCCACAAGATTGAGCTTCATGACTTTAGAGGGTTTGGGCACTTTTCAGTTTGATTTCTTTCAGTTTCCTCAGCAGCAGATTTAAGTGCTTTTAATTCTCCATATAACGCTCCAGCTCATGGCGGTCAGAAGCCATTGATCAGAGTTGGCTTCAAATTAACCCCCGAAGAGGCGACTTAGAATGTCCTGATATTTGCAGTGTTGCTGACATTGTGATTGAGTAGGCAGAAGAAGCGCCCTTGGCATTCCCTCCATGATGGATGAGCGTGGAAGGGCCGGGTCCTCCGAGAGCATGCGCTTATGTTCCACTTGTCCACCGTTTTGTTTGTCTCCTCTCAGTCTTCCTCTCAATCCTCTCTTCACCTTAACTTCTCATTTTTTCTTCTCTCCAAAATCCATTGTCATCCTCTCTCCTTCTTCGTCCTTCTGCCCTTAAATTTCCTCTCCCCTTCTCTCCTTTTCTTCTTCAGGTTTCGGGGCGGGCTGGATGTCACTCACGGGCAGACGGGGACAGAATCCGTCTACACAAGCTTCCATAATAAGGAGATTATGTTCCATGTGTCCACCAAGCTGCCTTACACCGAGGGAGACTCACAGCAGGTATAGTAACAGTACAATGATAAATTATCAGGGTAACTAATTTGTGTTTTCAATGTCCTTCACTAAATTTGTAAAGGCCTCACCTTGTGACTCCTCCACGTGTCAGGGTCAGGTCTTTTAAGTTAATGTTGAGGAAGCAAGATGAATCATTTGAATCTGCAACAGCTTAAATCGGTGGTTAGTAAGGTTGAGAAGAATGTTTTGACATTCTTGCATTCTTGTTGAAATTTAGATGAGGACTGTTATGTATGGTAAATTTGAAGCTATTGCGAGCTCGATATTATACAGGAAACGAGGGAATCACTGACTCTGTCCAAAGGAAACAAAGTCTGCCTACCAGCACCGTAACTCACAAACTAATATGTCATCTTGTTTATTTAATCTGTACTAAAACCAAAATGTAAAAAATAGCATGGTAATTAATGAGCTTTAGAGTTACCTTTGGACAGAGCTGTTTTCAGTCTTTGTGCTAAGCTAAGCTGTCCGGCTGCTGATGGTGAGAGTGGTATTGATCTTTTTGACTAACTGTTGGCAAGAAAGCAAATATACTTGTTTCACAAAATGATCTATCTACTGTATCCCTTTAACAAAAGAGCACGAATATCTAAAAACGTATTTGTAAGTTATACTTGTTTCTTATTACTTATACTAGAATATGCAGAACATTTGCAAAGCAAACATCATTTTTTTTTTAATTTGCAGGTTTTATGTCCTTGAGAAATATATTTTTTTCATTTACCATTTCCACAAGTGTCGTCTACTGGAATTGAAGTGTGTCTGCTGTTGGTTTGTGTCTGAATACTTTCATCTCTGTGATGAAGTGTTGCAGTAAGCTACATTAGTCCAAAAGCTGCTTTTTAACGCCACAAGTGGTTTGAACTTTGTTACCACAGCAACCCTGCACAGACCATCCATATTGCCGAGAAACAGAGGCGATAAACAACACCCACATGGGATGATTCATGAGGGAACTCAAGATAAGGAGGCAAAGTGCAACCATAATGGCATTATTTCAGTCGGGAGAAAGTGAAGAATTAATGTGGCCAGATCTGATTGACTGTGATCCGATTTGAGCGGATGTTCGGCATTAACAGATGTCAAGTGTCTCAATCCGGCCCCACGCTGGCTGAGTTGGTTTTTAAGTGCAAATAAGCCCAGCGATGATGCAGTATCATCCCTCTGCAGCCACATGTGTCCTGTTTCACTCTCAGCCTTCACTGCTGTCTTAGCGATACAGTGTCATCATTAGATATATCATAAAATATAGTCAGGTTGTGCTACTTTCTCCACAAAGGACTTCGCTTTCAGCTCATTTACGTCTATCAAATTGGATTTCAAAATTTAGAACTGGATGATTTCTACAAATTTGGCAAGGGGACGTTTTTCACATCTGCAACAGCATTACATTTTGTGTGGATCCTCACTGTGTGTCATTATGCTGTGAAACTTGTGTTTAAAAGCACTGCAGATGTCTAGCAATAGATAGCTAATAAGAATCTTTTTGGTGATGAAGGAAAACAGTCTGGCATATTGTCGTACATATTTGAGGTGTTAGATCCATTTAGTTTGAACTATTTAAAACATCTACATAATATTTCAGGGCATGTTTCTGGCTGCTATGACAAGCATATTATAAAAAAAAACTAGCCAAGGCCTGAAACAGATGGTTCATTGTTCTCATGTGAGCAAACAGTCTGTCTTTACCAGACATATGCTGTAAATCAATCAGACTGCTAACTGGAGAATAATAATCTGTAACTCCCAGGGTAAACATTCGCTGTATTAAACTGTGCACACAGTTGGTCAACTCTTGAGACCGTGCCAGCTGACACTGCAGCGAACAGGTGGGAAGTGGCTTTGTTAAATGTCCGCACTTTAGTGTGTTAAATAGCCCGATGGCTGACAGAGGGTAATCAGCTCATGCTGCTGCAGCGCAGGTGCCACGGTGTTTACTGAGGAGGACCATGGGAGCTGGGTCTATATTGGCCAAGACCATCTGCACGGAGAACATTTTTGACTGAGCATCTATGTTTGACTTGTAAAACCCTCATATATCTGCTTCCTCTCAACAGGAATGATTTTGGTTGCTGAGCACTGAGCAGAATGTATTTTGACATCCTGATATCTACTCGCATTGTGTTTTTATTTGATTGCTGAAAGGAAAACATTTCTGGGACAGTATTTATCACATCTCAAACAGGATATTCGCCCCAACTGCTGCAAAATCCTAAATACACATATTTTGTCATATTTTTAATTTGATGAATTTTCACAAAAACAGTAAAAAAAAGCTACGGATATCTGCTCTGATATTTACGGTAACATCTTAGCTGTCTAAATGAGAGTTCCTAGCCAAAGGCTATGAGGTGTCAAGCAGAGGAAGTAGGTGTCCCTACTGCTTGGCAACACTAAGTTGTTTTAAAAGGCATTGCTTGGATACAAATGTAAAATTTTGGCACAGTCACTCTGTCCTCCAAGTGCACAAGTGTCCTTTTGGCAAAAGGACACTTGGCCACATTTTGGCAACAAAATGTAGCTATTCAGCAGTGACGAGCCATCTGCAGAATCATAATCCATTTTTGTTTGACTTTGCAGTGCCTCCACTGGCTTTCCGATTCATTAATTTCCCCATCATCAACAGCCTTTTAATGCTTAGGCCTAAAATGGTCTACTCTTGTCAAAAGCTACATCAAATGTAAATAATAATAACAGTAATATATATTTACTTTATTTGTATAGCACCCTTCATACAAGAAGTGGCTGTAATAGCTGTTAAACCCTTAGCACTGTTGGATTTTAGTCCTGTCCACCTCTCTGCCTGGACTATATTTATTCCCAGTAAATCTTCCAGTGCGACTCCTGGAAGTGATTCGGTGTCGGGCGTGCGTTTGAGATGCTCCAACCGGTCATTTTAGATGTTTCCGCTGTTGTTAGTTTTTGTTTTTCTGTGCCATCCAGCTGCAGAGGAAGAGGCACATAGGCAACGACATTGTAGCCATCATGTTCCAGGAGGAGAACACGCCCTTCGTTCCAGACATGATCCAATCCAACTTCCTGCACGCGTATGTGGTGGTGCAGGTGGAGAACGCGTGTACGGACAATGTCACCTACAAGGTTGGTTACAAAGACCGCTAACGTATCAAGAAACTTGTATTGATAGTGAAAAAAAACATTTCAATATTCACTCGTTCATTATTCGGAAGCTTTTGTCTGTGCATCACGTATCACAGCGTGTCACAGGCTGTGCTCACCTGCTTCCTCCTCTAGGTGTCTGTGACGGCGCGGGATGATGTACCTTTCTTCGGGCCTGCTCTGCCTGACCCAGCCATCTTCAAAAAGGTCAGCAGTCACACAAACTCAATTCCCCTTTACAAGCAGACATCATAAACCTTCATTCTCTCCGCCTGTCCTCTGTATTTACCTTCCTCAGGGGCCCGAGTTCCGTGAGTTCCTCTTCACGAAGCTCATCAATGCAGAGTACGCCTGCTGCAAGGCTGAGAAGTTTGCCAAGCTCGAGGTGAGAAGAGTGTTGCAATGTGAATTGAATTATAGAAGTGTGAATGCTTGTATGGTGTGTGTGTATGTGTGTGGGGGGCGAACTTGCAGGCTGACTGTTGTTGTTGTTGTCAGGAGCGCACGCGCTCAGCCCTGTTGGAGACTCTGTACGAGGAGGTGCACATCAACAGCCAGTCCATGATGGGTCTGGGTGGAGACGAAGATAAGCTGGAGAACGGGGCCGCCGGAGGGGGAGGAGGCTTCTTCGAATCCTTCAAGGTACAGCCGCGTCCCTCATTTGGAGAGGCGCACCGTTAATCTGCAACTCCACATGCATGACAGAGAATGGTTATGACGGCAGAAACTTTGATGATGCTTTTTTTTCTTTTTTCTGTCTCTTGGCTGGGATTCTGGGTATTCACACATGAGAAAACAAAGCATAGAACATTTGCACTATCTCAAAGGACCAGTCCTCTGTGGCATTTGATTTCCTCACTTGGCTGCGGCTGCTGAACTCGGGGTGTTTTCACACGATGGTGTGCTTATGTGGCTGGGTGGACCGTCCCGCTGTGTATGAAAGACACCTCCTCTGACTGAGTGCTCCATCAATGACCATTAGGGTGGCGGAGCGTAGCCCGGCCGCCGGGGCTCGGCGGTATAGGAGCTGTGATTGTGTGTGCCTGATGAACTATTTAATGACCCCTCATTAGGGAGCTGATGATGCAGTTTGCATGTCTCCCCATGGGCAACATTCTCCTCGCTGTTTTTCTCTCGTCTCTGCGTCACCAACTGGTTCTCTGCCATCTTTTCTGTATTTCCAATTCAGAAAATATAACCGCCTTTGTCTCAGTCTCTATCTCTAGATCCATTTATTCTCCATACAAGCACACACTAGCTCTGTATGAATATACTCCTGCCCACAAATCTGGTCTCTGTCAAGAGCCACCTTGCAGCCTTTCTCTTTCTCCCTCAAACCTCCACAAATTACATCTGCAGATATTTCCCACTCCACCTCCCCCTCTCTGCCTCTGTCTAACTGTCCTCCTTGCTCACACTGTGTCTCATCTTCCCCTCCCATAACACAAAACCCCACAATATACGTAGAATAAGAGATGCGGCTTCATCCTCCTCCACCGCGTAGTCTACACTCTCCCTGACCTTCTGTAAAGCTACATTTCTTTCACGCAGCCTCTCCCTCCTGCCTGTTGACCTGCACTAACCCTGAGTGTTCAAAAATAATCCTGCATACACACATGTAAGCACAAACCACGATGTGCACACACAAATACACACACGTCTATATACACACATTTGTGTCCTGAGATTTAACACATTGATTCCAAAATATTCACACATATTAGCACTTGTAGTATGTAGTCATACTGACAATATGACATACTGACCTTCGTTTCAAAATAATGGCCAATTGGAGCAAAGCTGTTTTAAAAAGTTGACATTTTTCTGAACTTTTTACATTGCATGAAACGCATGCAAATGTAATATGGTTATAATACATATTAAGTATTTCGTGACAGGCCTTTTTGACAGCTTAAATTTGACCTGCAACCCAGTCACCAGGAAAAATGTAAGAATCGTAGGTTTCTGCAAACCACAGTTTGCCACGGTCAGAGCAAGTGGTGCAGTGTATCGAGTGTCCCTTATTGAAAGTTACTTGGTAAAATAACGAGTATTTCAAGAGAGAAACAGTCCTCTAAGGGCAGATGGGAGTCATGGTGGATGGTTCAAATAAACACAGGACATCCACCCAGGAGACCGTTGTTTGTGTCCCGTGTGAAACCAAAAGTTAACGTTGAAGTTATGCTTTTTACATAACGCTACGTAAGAAAATCCACTAAGCGTGGTTATTTATTTACATGAGATACGCTGTTACGATGCGCTGTTACGATGCGCTGTTACGATGCGCTGTTACGATGCGCTGTTACGATACGCTGTAACGATACGCTGTAACGATACGCTGTTACGATACGCTGTTACGATACGCTGTTACGATACGCTGTAACGATACGCTGTAACGATACGCTGTTACGATACGCTGTTACGATACGCTGATACGATACGCTGTTACGATACGTTGTTATAAGTTGTTACATAATTTTTTTAACACAAACTATGATGTTCTTTCGAACCTTAACCAAGTAGTTTTGTTGCCTAAACCTAACCAATCGTTTAACACCATTAACCACGTGACATTGTGCGTTCCTGCAAGTTTAAGACGAGGCTGATATGAAATGTATTAATAAAAAAACGTCCACATTCTACGTATCTCGTGGTTTGCAGAAATGTACGATGCCAACGATGCCCTGAAAACTGATGCAACTAAATGGAATTCAGCCAACGTTAATTTTAGTAACTACATCTTAGCTTTTTCTATTTTGACATTTAAAAAAAAGGCCTATTACCACCAAATTTTGAGAATATCTAATATAAACGAAAATTACACCAATCTGTGTATTAGCAAAGTATTTACTAACATGTACATGTTGGTCAACTTTCAAAATTGACTTAATTTGGATAAATAGAATTTAGTTTGAGCGTAGAGTCCCACACATGTGGTATATATTGCTTTGAAAATCGGTCAGTGTGCTGCGTTTCCACAAAATATTGAAGTGGATCCACTGACGGTATCTCCTCGTTTCTCTCTGTAGCGGGTCATCCGCAGCAGAAGCCAGTCTATGGACGCCATGGGCCTCAGTAACAAGAAGTCACACACAGTCTCCACTAGTCACAGTGGCAGCTTTACCCACAATCCCGCAGAGAGCCCCAAAAACCCAGGGATTGTAAGTAGCCCATCTTGGTTCACACGATGCCCACCTAACACATACATTCAACATACATTATATTTAAGCCCATTCGCAGGATAGAAGCAGACTGCTCTAACCCCTATTCTTTCTTATATGCAGCACTTTAGCAAATAACTCCTGTTGGCACATTGTATCGCTATCACCAGTATGTCATCATCGAAGCACTTGCTTTCATTCCTGACATTTTGAATTCACTCTTACTTTTCATTAAAGCGGCTTTTATTGATTGCCTTTTTTTTATAGACGGCTCATTTTGTGTTACCATTTAAGCTAGGGTTGATAATATTGAGAAACTAGCGAGAGTGCGATAGAGTATCCAATAATAGTAAAAAACTAAATGATGCCCAGGGTTGCCAACTCTTTTCCAGTGAAAGTCACTGACAGTCCGTGCCTTCAGGCCTCCCTCCAAAGCCTCTCCCCCAAAATCATCATAATGAACGTCAACAAAGAATATTGCTGTTGTCAGCATTCACAGCTGTCAGGCTAGCAGCTTATGGAAAACTCCGGCGACAAGCAATGAGTGTGAATGGAACGATTGGACGTGCTTATTACAGTCCTACGACAGCCACATATTTTTTCCTCTTTTTTTTTCTCAGGGCCTCTAATTTATTGATTGCTGTCGAGGTAAATTTGAACAAATATATGACAATGTTTCTTTCAAGATAACCAACCCTAGCTCTACTGACTGTTTTTCTTGTTTTGTTCGTAAAATTAACAGCATAATTCATTTTCTCCATTTCATTCATTCTCACGTGTTGAGAGATTCTTCACCACCACACAGAGCGACAGTTAGATATGTAGGATGTTGTTAGTAGCCGTCAATGGGAGGTGCGAGAATGTTTGTGAGCCCCAGTCCAGTCTCTATCCTGAGTCATGAAGTGAGCTCAGTGTACCGGCTGTATGACTACCCAGACTCCCTCCCTCTGCACTGTGCTTTTGTCATGACTGTTTCCTCCTGTAAATGTTACAACCTTTTTCCGCAGCCTTGTTGTATTATGTGCATGTGTTATGTGCTATACAGAGAATGCATGGCACATTCCATCAATGGAAGGAGCACACCGTCCTGTTTGTGTCTCTTCCAGGGACGGGGTTAACTACTGTATGTTTTTTTTTTCTTTTAATATTCACTGCAGTTTTGGGATTTGGTTGCTGACAGTATTTTGAATTGGGACAAAATGGACCTTATTTCTGAAACTCATGACTCATAGAAAAGCTAAAAGCTATCTCTTTGGATTCTGTCAGCACTCTTTGCCCCTTTTTTCTCCTGTTTAAATGCTTCAACACAAACCTGTAACCCTCAGGGCAGAAACTGCCGACATGCCTGCTACCTCGGTGTCACTCCATCTCCGGCTGTGTTCTGGGCCCCCAGTCTGCTGTTGCTTCTCTATTTCCTAAATATCTTTTATGTCTTCCCTGTCAGGTCTCGCTGCAAGCTCTTTTATTTTTAAGCTCTTAAGCACCTTGCTGTTAAAATTCTTTGTGCTGTGCATGAGATCTCATGATGTGTTCTTTCCCTTTCTCCCCCCCCCCCCCCCCCCCCCTTACTTTTCCAATCTACCATCTCCTCTCTCTCTCTCTCTGTGCTTCCCTGGCCCTGCCTTGTGTGGCTCAGTCATTGCTTGTTCCAGGGAAAAGTCCCAGTAAATATGGACGCCGAGGCAGCGCCATAGGGATAGGAACAATAGAAGAGGTTCATGTATATTTCTCCCTTCTTGTTTACTGTCTCTGCTGTTAACTTTGCTTTTGTCTCATAATGTCTAGTAATCATAAAGTGTGCAGTCAGTAGTTTCTAGTTTAAAATATGTGGCTGTGAGAGGATTTCACGTATTGATATTCATGTTTGTTTATTTATGGTGTTAATTCTAATTTCTGGCATTCATTCATGCAGTAGTCTAACCTTCTTTTATTCATGCATGACAGTATGGCTGAAAGAGAATTGATCCATCTCGGACTGAGGAATGTTATAGCTACTATATCTAATAAATCTTACCTGTAATGTAAAGTGTTTTTTACAGGCAGATGATTTTTCAGATAATTTATTCGCTCGCAGCAGATTCATGCATTCATACAGTGCTTCATGCATGAATTCCTACACTTTATTTGACTTTTAAATGTGTTCTTAAACTCTGAAAGAGAAAAGTAGGAAATTCAGAAAAGAAAATGTTAACTCGACTCCCACGTATGTTCTTCTACACAGTCATCCATTGATGAATCATACTGCATCTTGAATTAGAAGCATGTACCAGTCATCTTGAAGTTTGAACAAATAAACTTGACAGTCTGACCTGAGTACTTAAAATAAAAGCCACGTAGAAAACCAAACAGGATGCTTGGCAAGACTTTTTATGAGAGAATATGTATATTAATAATTCACTTCTTGCCAGAAGCCCAGAGAATCATGGACTATCATGTCATTCGAGGATGTATTATGCCATCAGTTCATAATTTATTTCGCAGCATGTTTTTTACATGTGAACATCTTCCACTTCCATCTTCCTACCGTGTCATGCACTGCATATAGTTAATGCTGTGGTTGTGTAATGGTTGCACTACCCCCATATTGTGTGTGTGTGTGTGTGTGTGTTTGTGTGTCTGACTCTTCTCTTCCTGCTCACCGTCAGTCATTGATCATTCCTGGGAAAAGCCCAACCAGGAAAAAGTCTGGGCCCTTCAGCTCCCGCCGCAGCAGCGCCATTGGCATCGAGAACATCCAGGAGGTCCAAGAGAGGAGGTGAGAGGACAGAGCAGAGCGGATCAGCAGCGAGTGGGTAGTGAGGAGAGAATTGTGTTGCAACAGATGGAAGCAAGGCGTTAAAATGAGGAAGTCGGCCATTAGAAGACACACTTCTCAAGAGACAAGCTCTTGTTGGACGGCAGTTTTGATGAAGAGGCTGAAATTATCAATAGCTTACTGTATTTGTTGTGCTTCATGAGCGCAGGAACGTATTGGGTTGCCCAGGATATGTGCAGTGCATGCGTGCATCAGCTAACATGCACAGGCTTATTAATGTTTAGAACAAATGACAGATGTAGTATCACATTTTCTGTTGTGAAATCTGAAACTTAAGTGGGAATACTGGTACAGCAGAATCCATATACTAAATAATGTTTAAACCTGTATCAAGCTCAGCTGCACTTCCTAGGATACCCATGTGTACAACGCCGTGTAAACGTACTTATAATGCATTATAATATGTTCAAAGCACTGTATAATCATAGTTGTAAGCATTCTTAAATATCCTTCATGCTTTATAACAATAATACACATTAAAAAAACACATTGAAGGGCCCCTTCTTCAGACTACAACGCATGTTCAGATGAATGTGTTGTATAGTATTTACACGTTTTAATCTCCATCCCTGTCCTGAAGCCGAGAGGTGTCACCCAGCACCATGAGGACACTGGAGGGAACACACTTTTCACAGGAAAACAAATCAGACAACTCCTCCAATCAAAGCTCTCCAGAATTCCCTGCTGCCAGGAACAGGTGACTATTACGTAGATTATTTACACAGTAATAAATGATATACATGCACAAACTAAAGCTAATATGAGACGAGATATGTTTCTAGAAATGGTTATAGTATTTGCACGATATAGCTTTAATTTGCTTTTACTGGGTCTTAAAGACTGCACTTGAACCCATTTGTTTATTGTGGTTATTTTAAAAATATTGTGATATATAGTAAGTTTTGGTAAGTATTGCCCTAGATAGAGCTAATTTAGAGGGTTGCATCAACTACAGAACAGCTTAAAAGATTTACGCTACCTGGCACAGATGCAAACACACTGATGTCACTTTGCTTGAAAGTGCTACCCCGAGGTGCTGTGAAATGAAGATGAAGAATTAATTAACTTTTGGAAGGAAAAGTAATAAATACTAAAATGAAACCCAGTTTTATTCCGCTGCCCGAATGAATTCGGCTTCTGGAGACCACAGGTGTGTGTGTGGTCAGAGTGACCCAGGTGTGTAGTCTGGCGATGTGTTGCAGGGCGCCGTCCATCCCCGAGGCTCAGGACCTTTCCCGCTCCTCCTCCAACGCCAGCAGCTTTGCCAGCGTAGTGGAGGAGCACGAGGCAGAGGAGGAGTACGACACTGGACTGGTGGGTGGAGACGTGCGGAGAGATGCCACGCAATAATGAAAGTGCATACATGCATGCCACTTCCCCAGGGCCCAAACAACAGGCATCTGATGACATATTTAATATTTGTCACATTTTCACTGTGGGGGGGGGGAAGGGGAATAATTCTGTTCCCAAAAACAATTAAAACAAAGGATGTAAGCTGGTTTGATGAATTTCACTATATTCCAATAATGACAGGCGTCCAAAATCTATTGCACAGTAATTAATCCATTTATTTCACTTGCACCGTTTTGCATCTAAAAAGGAGGTAAAAAAAGAGAGAAATGCAAATACAGTCACGGAGTAGCCTAGAGCTGTGGTTATGATTATGCTGTTCCTTGTTATATATTGTTGGTTTAAAAAAGGGAAATACTTCTAAATTCCTTTTCCCCTCCTACAGGAAAGTGTGTCTTGCATTACACCACTCAAGGGAGAGTCGTTTGTGTACAGCTCTGCGGCAGACGACAGTGCGTGCAGTACCAGTCAGGCATGTTGTCCTGGTGAGTTTGGGAGAATAAGCGTCATATTACTGGGTCAGTGATGGCCTGAGGGTGTGAAAAAACAGGCAAGTTTGCAAAGGTTGACCGTTTCACATAATCTATCTGGGGAAATCTAGATGGGGCGGATGTGAGAATAACCTCCTCCGCTTCCCGAGCAATGAATGTGGACGCACCCTTGAATGATACACTTCATCTCACTGATAACACCAGAAGTCTGTGTTAGCAAACTGTTCTTTTACTACATTAATGACGTTTACAATGCTTACAGAGAACAGCAGTACAAATTTATATGTTTCCCACTCAACTTCTGTCGTCCTGCATGTTTAGTTTTTTTTTTCTATCCCTGATGAATCACTTTGAACCTTCAATCTTTTGCATGCTGGGATATCCTTCTTAGACTACAGCTGGCAGCATTATGGGCTTGAGTTTATTAACCATGACGGCCACGCATCTGTCGCCTCCTTTCCAGCAGCGTCTCGTCCTCAGCAGCAGCCGGACGGAGTGAAGACGTCGGAGCCAAAAGGGACAGACAGCCGGCCCAAGACAGAGCGGCCCTCGCAGGAGCACAAGTTCTCATCGGTGAGACAAACCGCTTGCCACCGGCATTAGGTGACACTCAGCTGGCTTTACTCCGTGTTGCACGAAGTCACGGGAAGGAATGTTTCCCCTCGTTGATTGCTTGAGTCATTTATTGAGTGGAAAGACCAAATGTTCACTACTTTTACAGATATGCAATGAGGATAACTGTATGTATGTTGTATATTGTACAATGTCAAGTCTCTATTTTAAGATTTGGCAAGGCGATATGATGTTTGTGTATGCTTCATAACTAGCATGCACTGGTGCCCATCATCAGTACCGTACGCCACCAAACGAGACAGATCAGCACTAGTCTGATGTGTTGGTATTAACTGCCATCTTCTTTCTATGTCTCTTATGTATGCAGGACTGTTAGCCACACTCCTTTGATTACGGCATTGACATCCATTTCCAGGTGAGACATAATGTTGACATAATCTTGGAGCTATTTAATGTTTGGATGCCTATAAAGATTGTTGTTCCTTTTTCTTAATTTGTCACATTTGAACCCCTTATTCCCCTGATATGTCTTTTTATTTGATGTCTGTCCCATGTCTTCTCCTTTGTCTCAGCATTCCCATAAGAGGCATCTTTTGCAAAAAAAAAGAAGAAGAAAAGAGCCAAGGGCATGTGAACTCCACCACTGACGCAGGAGAGGAGCAGAGTTAGAAGCCAGATCAAGAGACCGACAGATCTTCCTTTGTATGTTTGGCGTTGGATCTGCTGCCTATCGTGACAAGACACTCAGCTCAACATGCTCCATGGACACGTCCCTACCTATCGGCCTCATTCCAGCTCCATGTGGAAACCCTCCTTGAACGCTCAAAGCAAAGGAACAGAGACCACCACCACCCCTCCCATGCAGCGCCAACACCGAGCGTCAGCCGTCAGCTGGCTTAGCAGAGTAAGTCTGGCTGCCAGTAAGCTCTGAAACCTGATTCTTACTGTAAACACTCAAATGGTGTGTGTCCTCTTTTAAAAAGGTCAGGATTTGAACTGGGGGGGGGGGGGGATCAAGACCGATCAAACAACCGGTGTTTGTTTAGCTTGTAAAACAGTCTATAGATAGGAGAGTTGCACTCGAGAAAGATGTGTATTTTTAAATGTCAACCTCACATCCCACTGTGATATTGTACATGGGTTTTCACTTTGATGTACTGGGTGTGTGTGCGTGGCTGCCTGCCGCGCCACGTTTTTGTGTTTTACTGACGATCTATTCTTCTTGTTCTGAGTATTCTGCAGTGGATATTTGTTGTGTTTGACGACAGCTTCCATAAATCTGTCGTTTTTGATGGAGGGGCACATCTGTGATGCTGTTGTTGGTGGCTGTGATCGCATCCGTCCTTCCCCCTATAGGTGGGTGAAATATACCACGGAAAAAATGCAATCTGCAATTTTTTTTATTGAATTTCTGAAGAATTCAATCCACAGTAAGTCTGTAGATAAAAATATTTTAACATAACTTATTGATGCTTTATAATTAGAATACAAAGCGTAATTCCTGTAGTGCCCCCCCCAACCAGCAACATGCATCCTCAATCCACATGTCAAGATCCTGCTGTTAGGACCCTTGTATCCAAATACTGTTTGTCACACACCACTTGTTGATTTGATGTGTGTGTGTGTGTATAAAATGGTACTGTGCATGGTGTAAATCTGCTTGCCAAAAAAACCAACCTGTCCTCTGTACACTGGTGCCATGCTTGACAGAGGTGTTTGTCCCCGTGATTTGTGTTTTGTTGAGAAAACCAGCCAACATCTCCAGACGCAGCGCAGCACATTGTCGATAGAGAGCCAAATACCAGTTTCCTACTTTATTTGTAAAGTGTAATATATGTATGTGAACGAAGCACTACATTTTCAAAGTTACTTTGACCTGATTTGTTCGCTGAATATGAATTACACTGTGACTCGTCTTGAAGTTGCCTTCCTGATGATAGTGAGCTGCTTTGAAGGGAGGGTCGTGTTTAAAGGCACTGCGTCGCCAGCTGGCTTGAATGTAAAACTAGGCAGACGTGTATTTATTTATACATGTCCGCCACAATGAATGGTGATACTGTGTTGACTCCCGACTGCAGAAAAACCTGAGTCTGAAACGGCGGAAAAGCTTTTTTCCCCCCATTTTCAGATTGTGACGAAGGAATCGACTTGATACACGGAGTTTATTTCAGTGATATAACTGAAGCGCACTTGAGATTCATTGTCTACACTGAATTAAAGATAGCATTTATTTGTGAAAGTACAAACAAGTTTAAAGACACTGGACCAAATGCAAAACAGTCCGTATGCTGTTTTCATCAAACTGTTAATAGCTACAAATCACAACATTTTGCATCCGACTCCACAGACAAATAAAGAAAAGATGCACTTTTTCTGGTTATAATTACACGTATGTGTATTACAGCCTTTCAAATTGATTTGATTTTTCTCTGGACTCTGGAAATGCTTGAGTAGATGAAGTGCTCCCTCTTGTGGCTCTGTATTATTATAGCACATCCCTGTGTGGTACCATTCATCTAACTGTGCTTGCACTGTATGCCAACGGCCGGTCCAGACAACGAGAACTTAGGAGAGAATCTTCTGTGTGCTTGATTCAAATGATTGTATTTCTGTTTTTGTCAAAATCTGCTGAAGCCCTTGTTCAAATCATTGTAAATATTGCTTTACATCCTTTTTTGTAAATAAAGCCAACGAAAATGTTTAATAAAGATGAAAATGCATAATGGATCAAATGCCTGGGGGAATCCTTTATACATTGATGGTTACTGTGCAAGTATTTAGCAAAACAAAAGTGGCACGTATTGCAAAATGATTGGAAAGAAAATTAAGCTTTTCAAGATTTTAGAGATAACGTAAGGCTTTGACAAGAAAAATATCTCTTCTAACTAGGGCTGGGCGGTATGACCAAAAATGCATATCACGGTATTTTGTAAGATTCTGGCAGTTTCACGGTATATCATGGTATTTTTTTTTTTGCGTTAAAGCATTAATTAATTAACACCGTTCCGTTCCGTCACTTCCTGTTTCCTTCACCTACATTCCCCTGGGTCCTAAGCCCCTCCATGTACAGCTTCTTATCACCCTATATGTACCAACATACATTTATGTATGACGGTATATGAAAAATTCATATCGTACAGGAAATTAAAACCGGTTGAACCCTACTTCTAACCCATCTCCACCCACTGTTCAGTTCCCGTTCACATCTCCACGTTCCACCACTTGAAGTCGAATGCTTCCCTGCGGACGTTGGAGCCACAGTGCACCTCTCCGAGCAGTTTGTGGTAGGAGGCGAAGTCGTCGACGAACGTGCAGCTGAGGCCCAGGCCCTCCATCAAGGAGCACATCTCGGCCTCCAGGGCGCAGCGCCCATTCACCTTGGGCCCAAAGGGCTTCGGGATGCCCAGGTTTCTCCCCAAGACAATCATGTTCACCTGTAAAAACGGATGTGACGCATCATGAAACTCCCAAATTTACTTACTGGAGTGCTTTGATGCCTCTCAAATTGGAAACGGCCGTTGGAAAATGATCTCAGTAAAGCATTACGCCAGAACACACCATGTCAGGGTAGTAAGCCACCGCTCTGTACTCGGTCTCCTCATTCTGCACCACTAACTTGAAGAGGATAGGCAGGTCGATGATGTCCTCGTCGTCCAGGCCCAGCTCTCTCTTCAGCACATCTCTGTTCCAGTCGACGCAGCTCTGTGAGAGAGCATATCAATATCATATCGATATCCTGATACCAGACCAGATATCATCTTAGTTTTTGGATATCGTAATATGGCATAGGTGTTTTATTATATCTACATTACTGATGATTATTTATCAAGATATTGCATAAAAGCACCAACGGTCAACCCTACAAGATCGATATTGAGGTATTTGGTCTCAAAGTGCTTTACAGAAAACAAGCAGTAAAAACAGAACAAACAGTCAAATGTAACAGTATGCCGTGCTCTAGTTAATCATTGCTCAGGCTACTTTTGCTGCAAACAAAAAGTAAACTGCGGCCAAATGTATGTGGACGCGCCTGCTTATTAGTAGGTTCAGCTGCTACAGTCACACCCATTGCTGAAAGGCACTCATGCAGGAAAACATGAGTCACACTGAAGTGTTCAGTAGCTTTCAACGTGGCTCTTTGTCACAGGATGCTTTCCAGGATGTCTTACCTGCTAGATTTGCCGGGTTAAATTATGCGTCCTTTTACAGTGAAGTGCAAACATCTAGGAGAGAAAACGAGCTCATAGAACAGGGCCGTCGAGTGCTGGAGCACGTGGCGTGTAAAAGAAAACAAACTGCCTCTGGAGAACACGTCAGCGTAAGAGCCGTTTGTCAGGAGCTTCAATACAAGTGGCAAAGCAGCCAGGTGAATGAACCTTCACATAGAGCAGAGGCTGCTATAGCAGCATATCAACGGCCATAGTTATGGAATGAGATATTCCACAGTAAGGTACAAGTGTTACGTCTGGCTGTCCACATACTTTTTACCATAATGTGCAGATAACAGTCATAGACTATAAAAAGTGGAGGTATTCACGGTTTGTGGACGGACGTTTTGAAGCCTCAAGTTTGGCATTTTTTTGTCGCCATCTTGGTTTTTTACAACAAGACAAGAGAGGGTGGAGCTAAGTACAACCAGACGCTGAACAAGAAATTTGAATTATTTGGTAGTGTTGGGATCTGACTATATGGCTTCGACATGTGCTGTGGAACAAAGAGTCAGGCCTTCCCTTTTGCAAGCAAAGGTTTCATCCTGATTGTAGTTTGAGTACCAAACCCCAACTCTGAAGAAATTCACATTAGGGTGTGAGTTTCCTCCCCCCAAAAAAACTGTGTTCCTGAAGTCACCTGAAAGCAGCGCTGCAATCTAATTGGCCGAGAGCCAAGACACCCCAGGACCCCTGTGGTTCAGCCACTGTTCTACAAAACTACCTGCAACCCCCACCTCAATGCTTTTTCCCTTCGACCTCCGTCGAGCTAGGGAGCACACCAACGTTGTTTCCCTTTTCAACCAAATCCTAGGTCTAACAGTTTATATTCGCTGGCCGAATTCACCAAACTGTCTATTTTATCTTTGTTCGTATCCACGAAGCGAACCCTTTTATTCCTGCAGAAGTGAAGAAGCAAGACTTCTTCAGAAAGAGAGAGAGAGAACTTCCACTCTCCACCAAGCGCCTCGTTTGCTCGGACATAAGGACGCGAAAATCCCTTATCCAGACGACAGCGATTCTCTCCTACTGAGAGAACACCTCCCGCGGCCCGCAGCCGCGCTGCCTGGGCCCAACGAAGCTCAGAAGAACCCCTCAGGAGAACCCCCCCCCCCCTCAATCACCACGATTGCATCGTACCGTAAGGCGAAATAGAGTCTGGGCAGAGTTAGAGAGTTAATTTGTGTTTATTTTATCTTGTTTGTGTGCTTAAAGTACTGTTCATTTTTATAACGTGGTATATGCTTTATGATCACCGACACTGGCGATCCCTGAAATTGCTAGTGTTGTGTAGAAGTTAGCGTGTATTCCATGCTACCGTGATTCGTGTCGAGACAGCCGCAGTGAGGTCGAAGTTGCTTCTCATCGGTTCAGGAGGTCAGAACCGCCGGCTGAGACAAAGAGTCGCGGTTCTTGCTCCCCTGGCTGAGAGAGCAATCTTCCGTACTCCCACGCGGCGCAGAGGATCTTAATCTTTTGTTTCATTTCATTTTGTTTTGTTCCTTTCCCTCCTCTTTTACTAATCCACACACACACACACACACACACACACACACACACACACACACATATATAGCTTTGAGCTAATGTAGCTACGTGCTAAATGGCTACCGGCACGTATAGACGCCGGGTCTTCTGTTGGCTACCCGCCATTTTTGAGTCTCACGCATGAGAGACGTCACTACGTCCCAACTACGTCATACGTCGCTGAGCTGTTCCCTCACTCCTCCCCCTTACACACACACACACACACAGACACACTTCCCCCCCCTCTTTTCAATCGTCTGTTGATTTTAGATAACGTGCTCATGAATGTATAGTTGTTAGTTTAGATATTAGTTGACGAGATCATTAGTATTAGAATGTAATAAACTGTTATATTTTAAAGAGCAGCTGTCTGTGATTACTTTGTGCATGTGTATTGTGATAATAGCTGTATATGTGGTCTGTGCTCAAACTTAAACCTTCACTTTCACTCTGAATGTGTAATAGTACTCAGACTATTGACATTGTGAGTGAACACCAATTATGAGACTTAGTTTTATCGTTTGGTTATTGGTCCCTGTTCGCAGGGTGGTGCCCCGTTGTTATTATTAATAATCAATAATTGTTACTGACATTAATAATACTATTGATGTCAAGAATTTAGTTTCTTAGATGCTGATAACCCAAACACACTCCTTTACGTTCCCAACATAATGGTGCCCCCTTTTTGAGGCTATGTTATTCCCAACAGTAGCGACCTTTCAATCACAAGGTAGCCATGCTCTAAAGCGCTCCCTGCTTTACCGTCTATTTTATTGTAAATGGGACAATAATTTACTAAATGAACATCATGCTGTATTGAAGAAGACTTGAAACTAGAGATTGAGACCATACACTCATGTTTACAATGTTTACTGAGGGAATAAATCAAGAGAGAAGTAGAGTCATTTTCTCATAGACTTATATACATTCAGACAGGAGCTGCTGATCCTGTTCTACTCAGCCATCATCCAGTCTGTTCTCTGCTCCTCTATCACTGTGTGGTTTGGATCGGCCACCATACAGGACAGAAACAGACTACAACGGATTGACGGGTCTGCAGAGAGGATCATTGGTTCCAGTCTGCCCTCCATCCTGGACTTGTTCACCTCTAGATTCAGGAAACGGGCTGGAAAGATCACTGCAGACCCGTCACACCCTGGACACAAGCTGGTCCAACTCCTCCCCTCTGGTAGGCGCTACAGAGCTCTGTACGCCAAAACCACCAGACACAGGAACAGCTTCTTTCCACTGGCCGTCACTCTCATGAACAATAAATAAGTCATATTGCACTACCTCTGTTTGCACTATTGTATTTTTTTTTTTTTTTTTTATATATATATATATATATATATATATATATATATATTGTTTGGGATATATTTATACTTATATTGTATATAGCTGTTAAATGTCCTTGTTTTTCTTATATTTCTCTTGTTTATTGTATATATTTCATATGTGTGTATGTACGATGAGAGTAATGTGTAACCGGAGTCAAATTCCATGTATGCACACGCATACATGGCCAATAAATCCGATTCTGATTCTGATTCTGATTTTTGCATCCAGAGTTGCTGCCTCCTCATGGCCATTAGAAAGAATGCAATTTTAAGGAATTTCCGCATTGACTTCACTTTTCAGACCCGGAGGTTGCCTTCTGATTACAGGACATCTTCAGCAGGTAGCCAGATTTGCACAGTTTGAAAATGTCTTTTATCATCTTTTCTGGACTTGAGTCTAACCCCGCAATCCCACTCACCTGCACGTAGTTATTTTCAGCTTGGAGACCTCCATCATTAAGTATCTCATCCACTGTTACTGGTTCTTCATGTCCCAGACCTTTTGGGAAGTGTGTTACACAGTGTTAAGAATGATACCAGTTTGTTGATTGCTAAGATACACATTGTATTGTTGATTTTCTACAGATATTATTGTTAAAGATGGGAACTACCCTCAAACAGTTTGGCTTGTCCGTGTCCATCGTTGTGTAAGCCTCTGAATAGTTTGTAGCCTGCGTCTGGGCTTGCCAGCAGCAGCCGGAAGCCCTGTGTGCGCGGAAACACAAGAGACAAAGATAACACTGTCTGTCTCATTGTCCTCGGGGCTTATACGATCCCACAAAGAACACAACAGCATAGCCTAGCTAGCTGCTTCCTGCCTTCGAACTATTTAGATATTTCAGTTTAGCGGTTTCTGTTCAAAAGGGAATATTTACCTTTCTGTCAGGTGCAGGAACAAAAGTCATAAATTCATCTACGTGGCCGACATGGAGCCAGTCAGAGAACAAGGCAATGGGCTCCTGAACCTTCTGAGCCCACAAGAAGTCCTGAACTACTTTGGTCATGTTGCGTCCTTTAGTTGCCCTTTGAAGAAAGAAAGAAAGAAAGAAAGAAAGAAAGAAAGAGAGAGAGAGAGAGAGAGAGAGAGAAACGCAAGTGATGTTCACCAGTCTTCGGCAAAATGCTCTGTTTCCTGCGCTACCCCACAACGGCAGGAACTTATCCCTGGATCTGTTACAAACTCACGTGGGGAAGGCCACTCCAATGATGATTCTGCCCAGGGGGTAGTGTATTCCATTCACAGTGACGGGAGGACTAACCTCCAGATTACCGAATGAGTCCAGACTGCTCACGTCTTTCCTCTGGGCCGCCCTCGTCACATAGCCAAAGTCAGGTCCCTGAGGACATGGAGGTGGTTAAAGATCCCCTCCAGACGTGTTTCAAGACAACAGCTCAACATTTCAAACGTATAGCTGTTGGATGAGAAGATATCTCCTACTTGTTTTCAGTGTATGTCTGGAGGTTTCATCACACTTTGTGTAAGTTGCATTTTGAACCACAATTGGCCTCAAGAGTAGTTGTGATGTCACAAAATCCAACACGCATTTAATACTTTTCCCCTTCAGCAGATAAAACAGCCTTGTACTGTCAAAATCAGAGCTTTTCCATTTCAGAAAGCTTTTTGTATCTGCAAACAATGCATGAGAAATTTGAATCTCACCAGTAGCTCATCATATGGAAAATCCAGGAGTTCTCCATTTCGAGGGGAATCCAGAACAACAGGAAACCGGTGATGAGGAGAGTCGATGTAGCCAAATTCCACCTCATCCTGAAAGAAGAGTTTCTTTAATAACAACTTTACTGATGTTTTTTGTCTTTTCTATTTCAATATTTTATGTAACTTCGGGGTGAATGATTCGTTTTCTTTCCCATGATGCGGTTGATGTGAAATCCGCTGACATTGCCGCTGTTATTGCTGTGTTTTCCAACTCGACTTTTTTTTTTTTGGCTCGTCATTTTTCAAAGAAGCGCATTTTGACAGTTGTTGCTCTTTTTTCTCCAGGACGAGACACATTTTGGTTTTCTTACCTGCATCCAACGATCTCCTCTGTTCACATACTCGTGGCAAATCTTAAGCTTGTACCCGCTCTTTGCAACAAGGTTCTTCATGCTTTTCAGGAACTGGTAGTTATCGGACGTGCTGACAAGGTGACAATGGAAGAAGAAGCATTTGTTAGGAATTTTAAATATAATAGAATTTTGATTTGAATCTAAAAAAGGAAATCATGAATGACATGTGAAACTGCAAAGAGAAAACATGAATTGTAAGTCATTTATAAGCTTTATCCGCTTGTTTGGAGTTAAAATGAAGGGGAATGTGTAACACTGTAACATACAGTTGACTCATATATATCGTCCCCATCGTCTTTATTATTCATCAGTCTCCTCTTACCTGCAGACAAACACCTCGACAGGCCGGAGGGTGTTGGGTGTCATGATCCACGGTGCCACTCTGAGCACGACTGTGTCTGTGAAAATAGGCGTCTCAGGTAGACCCTGTCAAAACATGAGAGAGGCTGCAGAGTCCTGTTTGTAACGTCATTTGACAAAAAATCTCATCTAACATCACGAAACTGTGACCTAAAACTGATCTAACCTTTGTTTTTTTTGTTAAGTAAACAAATCCACTTCAATTCAATTCACAAAAATATGGCGAGTTCAGCTATGTTGTTGTTGGGTGTGAAAGTTGATTCTTGACCTTGGAAATAGCGGTTTGACCTGAAAAAAAATATTATTGTAAGTGGCCCTTGATTTAAGATTTTCTCGTCAAACTATGTTGTTTTATTAGAATCAACAGTTTGAGTTGAAGAGATAATTAAGCAGCATAAGGAACTCATGGCAGGAGATGAAATAAAGATGTGCAACACTGTGGTTGCCGTGCCGCAGGTCTTACCGTAGCGATGGGCTCTAACAGACTGAGGTTGATGCGGATGAGCCCACTGAAGTCTTGGTCAGGAAACCTGAGGCCCTCTACATAAAAGTTCATCTCTGCTGCTCCTCCGACGTAAGGCACTTCCTGGGACAGGACCTCACTGCTCAGCACCAGCGGATAGTCCTTCACAAAGTACTTGTAGAGGAGTTTCTCTGCTGAAGTAAGAACAGCAGAATCAAGGCTCGTTTACTTCATTAGAAAAAATATAACGCTTGTAAAAAAGGTTTAGAGATAACAGATTAAACCAGCACAGTGCCTCGACGAACCAGCTGAATTACGTCATCCGTTCGGGGGCTTTCTCACCCCTCTTCTTTACTCACGCAGTGTATTGTTCTTCGTTTGAGAGATTCTGGACCTGAAGACTCTGACACTCTCTGCGTCCCCCTGAGAGATGTGCATGGTGAGCTTGTAGCCCTCTGGCAGCTTGGCGGGGCCTCTGGTCCGCAGCACCATGACAGACATGTCCTTCAGATCTGTTCATCCACAAAGAGTCATTCAGTCCTACATACCCTTTTAAAAGCACAAGCCACAGATACATGACATCAATGTGCTTGAGACTTTTCTTTTATGCTTTTAACTCTGAACACTAAACATTCATCATTACTACTGGGAAGCACTCACCCACACATAAGGTGAAATAACACCTGGTTTTGCTATCAAATTTCAGCCGTACCGGTTTGTCTTCTGCAAAGTCATTTGAGAGGCTTACTTTATCAACTCCACCTTCTACACTCACACAGAGCTCTCTATGTTTGTAGTTTTATCAAACTTACTTACCCTATCAACACTTTAATCTGCTGACTTTGCGAAAGCAAACATGAGAGAACTTTTAATGCTGACAGTTGTGAAAAAGTTGATGAGTCAGAGGGAAGCAAGAGAGAAGTCAGTGGTGAATGAGGCTGTACTCTTTTACCTGACACCTTGGAGACGCTGTCCTGCTCACGATCTGGTTTCTTCCTGTAAGCCCACTCTGAGTCACAGTTGACCAATAGGATGGCTCCATGCCCATTAGGACCCCATTTCCAGGATCCCTAAAAAGTTTTCAACAAACCAGACACACATACATTTTTGGAGTTTGTTGGAAAATCTTTGTCTTCAGCGATGTTACTTGCACTTATCAAACTCATGAAATACGTGAGAATATTGAACCAATAATGCTTGTTTAAACAACACAATCATAGAAAGATCTGAAGTACACAGTAGGCACTTTAAAATGATTAAAATGCTGCGATGAGAATTACAACCCTATTCACTTTGTTACACTTTATTGTTTATCAGAAAGTGAAAAGAAGAGAAAATATCTCCTGCATTAGTTGTCAGACTTTGAGCTCACCTTATTAGCGTTGTTTTTCTCCACAACACCGTCTCTGTCAGCGTCCACATCCAGAGAGATCTCTGCGTGACAGACACAGTTTGTTTATCACGGAGTGCCTCTGCAGACATTGCAGATAGTAATAGTGCTATAGTAATAGTATCCAGCTATTGTTGTACTACAAGACTCACAATTTCTGTGTATTTGATGATTTTTTTTCTTCTTCTATTTTTGATGTGCATTTAAACACACCACTAATGCTCTGTTGATATTATGCTGACAAAAGAACAATTCAGAGTTACAAGGTTAAGTAAATAATTGGTTATGATAAAAAACAAAAGTGCATGTTGTTTTATTTTGCTTTAACTCACCAACAGCTGTCAGGTGCAGGACTGCTCTCCCCAAGACCTCTTTACTCTCCCCATAGTACCGGACAGACAGCTTATAAGAAGAAGGCACAAGTTATTTAGTTGTACAAAATGACATTTGACAATTGTGAAATCTTAAAGTCGCATGAATGAAAATTAGGAGCTGTACTATATTGTGAAGCAAAAAGCTCTTGAGCTCCGTTGAATGGGGAATGTCTCCCCTGGTTATTTGAAAAGTGATAAATCAATAAGCAAAAAAGCAAATGCTGCAAATGCTTCGAGGTAGGTGAGTTTGATATATTTCTAGTTAAAGTCTACTCTCAATCATAAAAAAAATCCTCCAACGACTTCAGACAAATTCAGTTTAGAAGCCGCATATTTTTGGTTTTGGTTTCAGGCTCTGAATCAAACTAATATTCAATATCTGAAAAGCAAATATTTAATACCATTTCCAGGACATCTTGACTGTCTACGTATTAACTTGAATCATGTTGCTGGGCGTGAATTTTGTCATTAATAAGCGGCTCATTTCCTGGAACTGTTACCTGAGCACATATGGAAATCAGAAAACTTGCACTTCTGTCCTCCTTTACCTTGCTATCGTTTTCATGTTGACTGGCACGGCTCATGCGGATGAGCAGTACTGAGTTTCCATTGAGAGGGATGGGAGAGAGGTGGGACGTCTGCTGAGGTGAGGGGCTGATGCTGTACTGAACACTGTAGGTGCACTTCACAGAGAAGAACCTGGAGCTGGGAGGGGCGCTCCTGAGAACAAGAGAATGTATGTATGTTTACACAAAGCAGGCAGAGACTGTATTAAACTTGCAGTGTGTCTGTGTGTGTTGGAGCAGATATTTGTTGATATATAAATGTGGGAGAGAATTGACGCATAGGGACAAGCCACAAGCTCAAATTGTGTGACTGGTAGAGAAGAAGTAGCAGCTGTAGTCATGGTAAAGTTAGTCTTTATTCTTTATTGCTTGGAAGACAGCAAAGTGATTTATAAACATACTGTTTTATTAAATGAGCAAATTAGGATGATGTGTGTTCACACAAAAACGTTTCTTCAGAATTTGTCTCATGCGAAGACATGCATTCTGCCTGAGGACACCTGACACACATACCACCAGATCTCAGGTTTTCCAAGTGTCAGTGGTGATTTATCAAACGGATATATCTTCGAAATGGCTGGTTTATCTGTTCAAGATAGTAGAAGGCGATTCAGAAATGGCAGTAAAGGTGGTCAGGAACGGTCATTTACGAACAAATTCGCTCTTCTCGCGATTTATAGATGAGGCCTATCGTGGACTGGGTTGCAATGAAAAAAGTATACGTCCTCAGAAACACAGTTGGGAAACACTGGTCTATTGCCGATGTCTAAATAAAAAATAGTCACATGCCCGTATCAGTTGCGGCAATTGTTCCTCCTGTCCACACTGGCTGTGAATATATCTCTTAATGTGACGAGGAACAAAATTCCCTTCTTGAGGCGTCGGCAGTCTGAGTTTGTCAAACCAAGTTATCTTCCAAAAACATTTTTAGTAAAACTATCCCTCCAACGCAGCTCAGCAAGAAAACACTGTCCCAAGAGTTACAAAAAGGGAATTTTGCACTAAAAACACTTGGTTTGACCAACTTGAACGATTACAGGCAACAACAGCTCCATTAACACCGAGTAAAGACACTTTTCACAGCAGCCAATTGGGACACGTCATTGCAGTTGTACAATGTGTTATTAATAGGAATAAGTTTGGCCCCGTTCCATTTAGGTTGGCATGGCTCACTGGAATGGCGGTGACAGATTAAATAGAATGGGACCATCATTTATTTATACTATTAAACCTGTCTTTACTCAAAGACTGCTGTGAAAGGGGCCTGTGGCTTCAAGATGAACCCATTCTTTATGATTTAAAAACAGGCTCACTTTACATGACAAGGCCTCTAGAATGGGTGTGCCAGTCTCCCACTCTGTCCAGTCTGTAATCAAGCCGGGCTCTGTTGTGTTGTGGAGGCTGGCATTTGGCAGAACGTATTGCCTACATTTCTTTGGGACAGCAAAGACTCTCCTGACAGCAACAATAGAGGACTGTTGACTGTCTCCTCTGTACAAAACTAAATGCTAAGGATCTGCATACAAATGACATCATCCCCACAGCTCTATTGATGTGGGTTAACAATGGGATTGTTATACACCCAGTTGCCAGTTTATTAGGAATTACCAAACACTAATGTAGACTAAACAATCCTGCTGTAAATTCCACCTTCCATGAAGTGATACTGTTCTGAAGAGGTGTTGATTTAACTGCATGATCATTTTGGTTGGTTTGCTGTTGAGTTGTATTACACTATACTAAGGGGTGCTTTTCATACTTAGTCCACCCTCATTGATATAAATATGGCAGAGTTGTTCACAGAACTGTAACTGTAGCTGCACAAATGATTATAAAGCTGACTCAACACCTCTCTAAAACTGTTTCAACAAAAACTGTACTGTAGCTGTATCATAACCTTCATGGAGGTAGGGTTTATGCAGGACTGTTTTAGATAGTTGTAGGCCAACTGTATGTCTCTTGAAATTGGGGATCTATTCTTTTTTTAAGTAGCCTACATCAATATATATATATATATATTTTTAAATAGCTCTGAATGCTATCTGTTTAACTGATTGCCTGTTGACCACTTCACAAATTAAAATAAGGAATGAGACACACTAGGCTGTGTAAATCGCAATAAGCCAGCATTAACAAAGGATACAATAAAATACTATTTCCAGGGGAAAACTCGAACATTTTCATAATAGAATAAATATGACATCTATCACTCTGTAAGTATAAACTCCCCAAAATGTCCGAACAATTTGCAGCGCGCACACAGTCCAGATGGATCTGTATGAGTCCTGCGGGAGACGACACGTTGAATAAGAGCCTACCTGTTCAGGTTCACGTTGAGTTCCGAGCCGACCACGCATACAACGCCTGTAGTTTGGTCATAATCTACACGGAGAGTCCGGGGGTGAATCATGACTGCCGTCCTCCCGCAGTGTGTGACACGCTCAGGCTGAACAGGCTGCTAACACTAAATGCCTTAAACCTGTTCCGTTACCAGGACGCGAGGACGCAGACCGGTCTGGACTTGCACAAAGTAGCAAGCGATGACAAAGGCTGCAGGTACCCGTAGGATTAGTCCTCTGTGTGCGCTGATTGGTCTACTGTCAACCCTACTCCACCCACCCCCGTCTCCTATCCCGTCACGTGCTGTCTCTTGTGTGTCTGTCTCTCTGTTTATTCACTCTATTTGTATTGGCGTGGTCTTTATATTGAATCACTTAGAGGGAATATTCACAGAAAGCCTACTGTTGGCACATTTATTAACAAGTAACTACAGCCGTAGTAACAATTGCTTCGTAGTATCTCATACCACTATTTGTTTTAATTGTAGCTGTGAACGCACGCATGCGCAGGAGTGAAGAGGCGCACAATATTGTTTTTTTCTGCAAAATTGAATTAGAGGCTAAACTCCTTCAACGTTTTTTCATGGAGATACTCAGGCACAACACATGGAGGTTAACAAACATTTCAGTACATATACAGTAATAATGATAGACAATCAACGTATACAACAACAAGGACACATAAGGGCTCTGCCTCCGTCCCATCCCGAATCATAACACGATGAACATAATCTGCATAACATCATGTCAAAGTAGTCAAATACTAAGTACCAATACAGCGATGTGAAAGTACCTTGTTACAAGACAAAAGTGAGCTACAGAAGTATTAGCAACACAATTGTATTAGAATTACCTTCCAAAAATGAAGGCTGCCCATAATAACTCAATTTACAGAAGGAAAATATCACATATGATTGTATATTTAAAATATTATGTTTCGCTTCTTGCTTCAATAACAATTGTCTTTATGTGTTGATATCTTTCAACTCCTGGAAACTGGAAACCACGTTCAAATGTATGTATGCAAAATCCTATTGTTGTAAAAAAGAAATATGGAAAGTAAAAAAACAAAAAACAGAAACCACCTATGGTGTCTGTTTTGTATATATAATTTGTTGACTCTACTGCAAGGTGGCTGGTTTTCAAATGTTTGTTTCACAGAGCTGCTATGGTGCACGTCGCACCCCTCTGTTTGCAATCCAAATGTTCCCCACACGTTCTCTCCTCTTGAGCCCTCATTCGTCCCTGGA